CTAAATTTCTTTAACGCGTAAAAGTGTATCATTGTGGTACTTTGCAAATCAAAAATTAATAACAATTCTTTTCAATTTTCATAATAGCACAATTTAAGTACATTTTATTTTTCTGTTTGAATACAGTATACACGATAAGTAGTCGAAATAATGCTTCGATTTTCAACTTCAGTATCTTTTTTGGTGGGAAAGTGAATCCAGTTGATTCATCCAGCAGGTCAAAATACCCAGTACTTTCAAAAGCACCGCTAAAAACAAATTAAGAAATTAAGAAAAACGGGAATTATTTTACGCAAAATAGGTACTTGACAAAATCGATTTTGGTTTTTAGTAACTCTAAAAAAAATGTTTATATAAGCATTTTCCATACATCATTAAATTAATTTGAATCATTTTGAGTTATTAATGGGACATTTTTAATTATTACCTAATAAAAAGATGTTCCCTGTCAAAAATTTAAAAATTGAATACAAAGTTCTTCATAAGTTGTTGTTAATGAAAATTTAAAAAAAAGTTGTGCATAAATCCATAATAGTTTTTTCGTGAGTCTAAAGTTGAATTTTGACTAAATTTGTCAAAATCACAAAAATGTATAAGCTATTTTGTGAGTTTGAAATTCATAAAAAAAATTATTTTTATATCTAAGATTTAAACATTTAACACAAGATTCCTCATAAGCTGGTCTACCTTTAACAAAAAAAAATGTCTACTAGAAAGCCAAATCAAATTGTATGAGCGTTTGAAGTTCAAATTCTTACGACATGGGAATATTGGATATTCACTAGTTTTATCTTGGAACGATTTTCTTATTTTGTTGTAATTCAAAAACATATAACCGTAGGTAGGTACTTGAAATCTACACTTAATTAACGTTTGTTTTGTCATTTTCTATACTTCAAAATATTTTGGCTCGTTTTGAGCTGTTTAGTCACTTTAGACACATTTAAAATTGTCATTCTGTTTAGTTTTTTTTATCTATATATGTTAATAAAATTGTAACTGTAGGTTCAAAAAATTTGAAAATTTGATATAAGGCTCCTTACATATCATTACGGTATCAGTTTGAAAATATTAAAAATACACATGCAAGATTTTTTCTTATAAGCATTTAAATTTCAAATGTTGATAAAATTATTCAAAACAAGGTTCCACAGTTACCAGTTCGTACAGTAACCATAATAAAGTGTAAACAATATTATGTAATCACAGTTTATTTTATAGACATTTTAAGTTTAAATTTGGATGAAATTATATATTTATTTAAACGAAGAATAACGTAATAAATAATTGTTTTGTAGTAATTTAAAAATATTATTCCAGGGTTCCTACTTGACGCATAAGATATATTAGGAGTATTATATTATTATATACCTACACACAACAACATTTTCAAATGCAATTTTTACGGGGGAGGATATAGGGGCGATACCCCCCCCCCCCAAGACCAGATTTTTAACACAATATAACATGCATATACTCGTAATAATATGAATAGGTATATTAAATGTATACTGAATGTGCATTAAAAATTGTGTAGGTATCTCCCCTTGAAAAAATCCCAGATACGCTACTGATCCAAAACACGTCCTCGGTCTACACCGACTGATCTTTGCAACAAACCAGCTGTATTATAATATACCTATAATACCTATTTAATATAGTAATTAAATGTAATCACATATTATATAATATATTTGTTGACAGTGTACAGTAGGTATACACTGTAGTTTAAGCAGTAGGTAACCATAGTAAGCACATTTTTATTAAGCACGTATATATACATTGTTTACTCTAAATTCTATAATAGGTAACTAATTACAATGTATTTGGTTCAGTGGGTGTAAGATCAATCAGCAGAAATATTGTTGACTAAATACTGACGAGTTAATTGTTTGTGTATATTGTAGTTATGTATTATATTATTTAGGGCATATGCGAGTATTGTACTCTATTTTAATTTTTAGGTCGGTAAACCTTATATTTTAAAATCGTGACGATGGTAATTTTGTAGGTACCTATGACCTAGGATCGGGTGATTTGAATTTATAGGTTCTATACCTATAAATCTATCACAGCGATTTCCCTGGCCAGCACATCCTGATTATTTACTTAATTTAATGAATTTATTCAATTTCAGGTCATTATTAGTTTTTAAGTACCTATCTAATAGACCATACTTTTAAATTCTCACATTTTCTTTCTAATTTACCAGTTCTTGTGGCAATCCTTTTTTCATAAGAGAAACTATATAACCGCACCTTTTAGATTCTGAGCGGAGTGATTAAATCATCAATATTCATTATTCAATATACATTCATGATTTTAAAATGTTTTAGATTATGAGTGAAACGATGAATGTATTGATTTTACAATGTGTTTTTTTATTTATTTTTTATTTTTGTGTCTGTCATCACGTTTTAGGACAGTAAAGGTGCTTTGATTTTCTTCAACAGTATCTTTTCTAATAGGAAAGTGAATCTAGTTGGTACTTTTTAGTTACTTTCTAGTTGCTACTTTTGTCTAACTCTTAGACAAATTACCGTAGGTACACTAAATTTTGACTGAATGTTTATATTAGCATTTTCTATACACCATAACATTTTCCAAATATTTTGAATTTTTTGAGCTGTTTACGGATATTTTTTTAGTTTTTTTTTTATAAATATCAATAAAATGTTATTTGTTGGTTAAAAAGCTTACAAATGTAATAGAAGGCTCCTAGTTTATTGTTTCAAAGGCAGATGAAAAAATTAAAAATCCAGTCACAATTTTTTTTTATAAGCATTTAAAGTTCAAATATTGACAAAATACTCAAAAATTACAAAAATTTGCATATTATTTTGAGTTAGAAATTCATAAAAAACTTTCTTTTTAAATCTAAAATTTTAAAATGTAATACAAGATACCTCATAAGTTTGTCTACCTTTATCAAAAAAAAATGTCCAGAAGAAAGTCAAATTAAATTTTTATGAGTGTTTGAAATTCAAATTTTTACAACATTGGATATTTCAATTTTATTTTTAATACCATAGATGAGTATACAATGTGTCATAAACCTAGACTGACATAGGTACCGTCTCCGCTCAAAATCGTTTTTCTTATACAATAATATTATATCATTGATTTCAAATTTAATACTATCCATTCTACAGTGACCCACTCGTAACCTACAGTACAGCAGAGCGACATCCACTTACCCACCTTTTTTATTATGAAGATTTCTTAACTTTATGTAGGTAACTATAACAAGAATCAAGAATAATAGGTTTAAAGATAAAGACTTATTATGAGAACTATTATAATGGTTTGAAAATTTAGTAATTCTGACTAATTAGTATTAATAACTAATATATTAGAATTCTTTATCCTGTTGAATTGGCTAAATTAAGTAAAAATAAAAAGATGCCAAAACAACAACTACTGTATTAAATATTAGAGACTTATCTCGTAATATAGTATTTTCTGTTTCTTAAGATTGACACACAAACTTAACATTCAAATTGTCCACAATAAAAAAAAATATTTGATTATTTATGGAACAATGGTATATTATTATGCCACAACATATTTTTTTTTCTCAAACATGTTTCATTCATATGAGTTATTTTTAATACAAATAATATTTAATACCTATACTATAATGTTACGAATAACAAAAAATAAATAATAAATTAAATTATTTTATTTTTTAATTTTGAATAATTATTGTTTCCATATTTTATCAAATTAATTTCTGTAACTTCTGAATCCTATTGCTATTGATCATTGATCACATCGGTTACAAAAACATAAATTTAATAATATACATATTATATTTTATTTGAAAAATATTGGATTTTTAAATACTATACATAAAACATGATTTATTAATTGATAGAATTCATCAGACTTTAATAATAAAAAAAAACCAACGAGACAAACGTATTCCTATGATAATCAGATAACCTCTGATAACCAGATCGTAATAAAATAGTATGTCTATAATTTCACCTTAAATTTTAAAAAAAACATTATAATAATAAAAGATAAATATTATGTAATGATCTAAAATTAAAATGCAATAGCTAACAGGTGTAATAAAATAAAATATAGTTATTTTGAGTGCCGTCACCCATAAAAAAATGATGTTATATTTCAAATAAATTTTTAATTTTAAATATCATTTTTATAACCATTTCATCATTTGACACCCATTACCATCACTCTATTCAGAACAAATTTTCTAATTTAAATTTAATTTGCTCAAAATTATTACATATATTATATGAGTGCGTATACACTGTAAAAAATACTCTCATATTTACATCATACAATAACATTTTTAATTAGATAAAAATATAATTTTGAAAGTCGAGTAACTAATAATTTGATTATGGCTGAAGTATGGTACTAAAAAATTATTTCAATGATATAAATACATTTATTCTCTAATTACAAGTATTCTCTGGTTTGTAATATAATTAACACATTACTAGGACATTTATCATCACTAAATTAATAACCAGATATAAATTATAAAGTTTAATATAAACAAACATTATTGTTAAATATAAATTTATCAGACCAATATCGGTCAGCATCATATAGTGATGAACATCACTATTTACAATTAACAGTTTAGTTCAGTATACTATCAAAACTGTAATAAATAATACTAAAGCTAAAGATTAGCCAGTGGATTCAAAAATGGGTGTATCAACGTTACAGTAGGAAAAATATTAATATCAATAAGATGGAAAAAATTAATAAATTTAAAAAAAAAAATATTTTTAATTGAATCTCTCATACTTTTTATGTGTAACTTAAAAGATTCTTTTAGATTTTTTTATAAACTCTAAATAGTATTTATCCTATAAAATATAAAGGAATTGCTTCTTTTTTTCTATCTTATTTAATCAATTAGTACTTTAGTAGTATGGGATTCAATCGATATCACAGTGTTGCTAGTATTATAGAGAACATATAGCAAAACACTAGATCTTTTTTCAACCAGCACATTATTAATCCATGTAAGGATATTTCCATTCAGTCAACGGAACAAATGTTTCTTTAACAGATTGAGGTGACGTCCATCGTAGAACATAATGTGGACCACCAGCTTTGTCATTTGTACCTAAAATAAGAAATTATAAAATTATAAAAAACAAAACTATTAATATTATATTATAGGTATAATAAATTGTAATCATGAGTTTAAAATTAATTATTATTATTCAATCAATTTAATTGTTATGCTAGCTTATATTTTGAACGTATTTTGAACTAGTTTATATTATTGTGAACAAATATTGCATCATTATACGTTAGGTGAAGCATACATGGAGAATAAAAATTACTTTTCCATCATCTCACTATCACCATTCTTAATTTTGTTTTTTAGCCGCTCCATCATGTTATATAAACGGAAAAAAAAACAGACATTCAAAACTATTTATTTAAAATTTAAGTTTATTAATGAATTTCTGGAATTAACCAAATACTCAAAAAGACACTATTGAATTTTCAAGAAAAAAGTTATATTCTATATTGTACACCTTGAAACGGTCTTAATTAACTAATTACATTTCTATTACATTCACATGAAAGAAACATAATGGTGTTTAAACTGAAAAAATATTAAGATAAGATATTTGATCCCTAGACGTTATCAGCCATATGACGATCAGACCCAGGCATAATTTGACAATAGGACATTAGTCCTTCAGTTTTTAAACAATTTTATTTATTAATTTATTCAGTTACATTTTGAAAGGTTTACATTTAAATAGTAAGAAAATAATATATAGTTTGAAAATAAATTCAGTATTAGATAATTATTTTAACAAAACAAAAAAAATTTAATAATAAATGTGCAGATGTACTAATAACAATAAATTCTAAAGAAACTTAGGAAATAAAATACAACTATAATGAACTGCAGTAGCGAGGAGAGGTTTTTGGTAGGAAAGACACTGAAAAAAAAATGGCACTAATATGCCTAGACTCCCCCCTCCATTTTTATTTTATCTATATGGTAAGAAATAAATGTTCAAAAAATAAAAACGAACTGAAAAATTATATTAAAAAAAATTAAAAACGTTACAACTTCCTTAGAATGATAATTAAATATAATAACAAATCCAAATGTACAAATTTTTTTTCGTATGAGTAGTTAATAATTCCATCGTTAAAAATGGCATTAACCTAACCTAACCATGAGGACAGATATCAATGTAAAACAATAAATATTAAGAAACACGTCGACAATGCGATAAGGACGTCGATAATAAATATTGAGGACTGGGATATTTACGAACATCGAGACTGTATCATAGCTTGCATAGTAAACCCCACTCACATTACCATTCCCCCTGTATCCGCGAGCCCATATTTGCAAGACGTTGCAAAGCAAAGATATAATACCATATTTGCAGTGTTTGGAAGGAACGAGTTCTAAAAGGAACAGATTCCTGAAACGAATTCCTTTTTAAAGAACAGCACGATGAACAAATTCCTATTATAAAAAAAGAATGAGAAAACAACCTAGTTCTTTTTCTTTCAAGAAAAAAAAAAAATTGTTAGTTCCTCTCTAGTTCCAATAATTTACATAGATACCTAAGTATGTAAATAATTTAAATTAATATATATTTTTTTTAATGTGTTTAACGAATATTGCTAATTAGTGATCGTTATCGAGTATCAACGTTAAGACAATCGACATACGTCGGCCAACAATTTAATTTTGAAGAAAATCTCAAAATAGAACTATAAAATATGTACCTGATTGTAGTTTTATGTTATAATTAAAAATTAAAGAAGTATGCATATGAAAAAAAAAAAACATTAATAATTAAATAAGAATTTTTATTTTATTTGAAACTAAAAAAGGAACTTGTTCATTTTCCAAAGGAACAAATTCTTTTTTTTTTTAATTCCTAATAAAAATTCCTTTTTTTAAAAAAGAACGAGGAACGGAACATATTCCTTTTTATAAGGAACTTGCCAAATACTGCATACTTGGAATATCCCGTATTGCCAGCTCGTACGCATGGCCGTATCGTGAGCTTCTAATATATTTTAAGAATTCTATGACTGTACAACACTAGATACAACAAAAAAATCGATTTTAACAAAATATACTGAAATATGCATCATATATTTTATAATAATATACAATAAAATTCATTGATTAATATTTTTAATATTATTTAATAAACATCAGTGAGTTGGCTTACAAATTAAGTGTGTGAATTATCTATCTAAATTAAACTAATCTCCTAATCCCCAAACAAGTTTTTAAAAAAAATTGTAATTTTATAATACTAGCACAGTCTATACCAATATTTAAACCAATTTTTATACCTCATTATGGATCTCATTATACATGTCCATACCTGTAGGCAGTGGCGCCGAACCTTTTTTAAACCACTGGGGTAAACATTGTTGACGGGCAACCACCTACCTACCTTTTAAATATATAAGCAGTCACTCATCCGCCGATGACTACAACTATTTATATTGACTTATAACTTACAAGTAAATAACCCATTATTAAATTTAAATATTATTCCAAATTACCTGACATTCTGCTTCCACCAAATGGTTGTTGTCCTACTACGGAGCCTGTAGACTTATCATTAAGGTAGAAATTACCAGCTGAGTATTTTAATGTTTCAAGAGATTTTTTTAAAAAGTTCCTGTGAGAATAAAATAAAACCCAATAAATAAGTACACAATATTTTTCTATTTGATTTTCTTACTTGTCCTGAGCAAATACAGCTCCAGTTAATGCATACGGTGTAGAACTAATAACAAGATCCACTGTTTTATCAACTTCTGAATCTTTATAAACATAAACCGTCAATAGGGGCCCAAAGATTTCTTCAGTCATAATTTTATCTAAAGGATCCTTAGTCTCAACTATAGTTGGCTGTATAAAATATCCTTTACTAAAATAGAAATATTTAATATTATTATACACAAAGATAAAATATTAAGTTTAAATATATTTTATTTAATTACCTGTTATCATACTGTCCTCCACCAATTATTTCCAAATTGGGAGACTTCTTCGCATGTTCAATATATCCAGCAATACGATTAAACGCTTTGTCATCAATAACTGCTGAAGCAAATGAATCAAATTCATTAACATCCCCAATCTTCAACTTATTACGGAGTTCCAGTAGTCCTTCTTTAATCTATTTAAGAAAAACACTGTTAAAATTGTAATATAAGAGTTACCATGAATAATATTACTTTAGGCCATAAAGATTGAGGAACGTATAGTCTGGAACAGGCGGAACACTTCTGACCACAATATTCGAATGAAGATCGAATAGAGCCGGTAACAACAGATGTCACATCAGCTGTCGGATGTACAAAATGATAATTCTTACCTCCACATTCTCCAATCAATCTTGGAAAGTTAACATAGCTATTAATATTTTTTCCAACTTGGGTCCATAGTCGATTAAATGTCCTAGGAAAAAAATAATCATTCATTTAATACATATTATGATACTACATTACACATCAATGAAACAAGATTTAATAATCCAAATAATATTTACTTAAATATCAACATTTATATAAAAAAATTTTTATTAAAATGTATCATTATTAAGTATTTTAGGTTTTTTTAAGTGGTAACCTATGATTTGAAATTCATATTTGAGAAAAATACTTTTCTAAAAATTAAATATTGTGCGTGTGGAATTTTATGAGATCTTAAAAACCACTATACGTTATTCATTAATATTTATTAAATATTATACAAAATAACAAACATGAAATAGTCAGTCTGTTATTGAGTCTAACGATTACAAATTTTAAGATGATTATTTCTACGGGTGGACAGAAATTTAGCAAACAAATGTTTTCTGTTCATTTGTGATAATTCTTTTAAAGGAATTAATTTAGAGCAATATTTTAATACCCAATAACTATAATCAGGCAAAGGAGGGACAAGATATACTTATTTTTATTTTTATTTAGTAAGTAAGAAACATATGAAAAAATTTTGAGTAGATTGTGTTATAAATATACATTTAAATCTTATGTTAAAAACCATACTGTAATCCGTATGTCTAGAAAATAAACATAACACCTCAGTTAAACACACTAGCATACATTATATATATAACATTTCTTACGGAACAGATCCAGTAAAGTTGATACCCGATAAATGTGGAGATGCAGTAATAGTATCACCAAATACAGGACCATCTGCTGGGATAAAATTAACTACACCTGGTGGAACTCCTGCTTCAGTCATGATTTCGTAAATAACCCAATTTGATAACAAAGCTGTATCTGAAGGTTTCCATAAAACAGAACATCCCTAAAAAATAAAATTACAAATATAATAGGTATAAGAAAAATTATTTGAAAATCAATAATTACTAATTACTAATTACCATTAAAGCAGGAGTGTATGCTAAATTCCCGCCAATTGCAGTAAAATTAAAAGGAGACACGGCAGCAACAAATCCATCAAGGCCTCTATAACGCAAACTATTTAATGTGACATTTTTATCTTCACTAATTGGTTGATATTTTGTCAATTCTTTAGCAAAAAATGCATTTAACCTGTAATTTGATTAATATTAGTTCAATAGTTTTCAACAATTATATTCACAATTTTAACAAACTTGATAAAATCTATTAATTCAGCAGATGCATCAATTTCAGCTTGTATAACTGTTTTTGACTGACCAAGCATAGTAGCTGCATTCAATTTCATTCTATATTTTGTCGCCATCAAGTCAGCAGCCTTAAGCCAAATTCTTATTTTTTCTTCCAAAGGCACATTATCCCATTTTGTCTGAGCTTCAGTAGCAACTTTAATTGCTTTTGCTACTAAATCCTTTTGAGCATATAAAAAACTTAATAAAACTGATTATTGATATTTTAATAGTAAATACAAATACTTACTGATGATGCATAGTAAAATTTTGCGATTTTCTTGCTGTGGTTGTGTGGCTAAAACAAAGTGTAATGTCATTAGAATATATTAATTAAAAATATTATATTATTTTAATCCACCACATCAACTATACATCTTCATGAATCTAAGTAAAAGAACAGGAGATATTAACTATTAATGAGTGAAGTCCAAATATATACCAGAATAAATAACAGATACAAATGATAAAATAAAAACCCTTCACATAAAAAAATTATTTGGTTGAACATAATACTTATATAGTCCAATTTTACATAAATATTTTATAATTTTTAAAATGAATCATATATTTGTTTAAGAATTTTCAAATGTAATTTAAAATATATTTATTTATTAGTTATACCTACAGTATTTTATTTATTAATAGTGTATATTATCAAAATAATTAAATACACAAGTACACTACAAACAAATATAACTATACAATAACACCAAAATGGCTTACCATAACTTGATATCTAACATCTTTTGTCTTAAATTTTTCATTGCCAATGATAATAGGTACATCTTCCACATTATTAGACAGACGTTTTAATTCTGCTTCGATTTCTTTGCGTTCTTTGCTTCCAGGCAAGTATTCTGAATAAATATAAATATGGTGTAAGTAGTTATTAATTAACTAAAAACAAATAATTTTACAATATTGAAACTTTAAATTAAAATAAAATAAAACTTTGAATTCATATTAAAGGCAAAAATTAAGAAATAATATTAGCTACAATATTCAAAATATTTAAAAAAATATATTTGTAGACATTACCTACCTTATTTTATTCAATACCTACATTTAGATTATAATTATATTGTTTTAAAATAATTAAATAAGTAATTACTGGACTGGTTGTATGTAACTGATAAATGATAATTATAAGAGCTTCAATAAGCTGTTTAATTATTACTATATATTTATTAGATAAAGCTCTTAATATCATTGTACTTTGACCTTAAATAAAAAACCATTTATTTTTTATTGTAATTGACTGATAAATACTTTTTCTAATAAATCCAAAGTTTGGTCCAGTATATTATACTTTCTCTACATATTATTTTTTACTTTACACAACAAATAAATATTTCTATTAATTGTGTAAGTAACATTTATGAGGAAGAAAGTATATAATAGAACTTACATTTGCTTACCTAAAAGTGGTTTGTTTTCTACAGTGAAGTCTTTAATTTTAGGCAGTGAAAGGGAACACATAAATATTTCTATTAATTGTGTATGTAACATTTATGAGGAAGAAAGTACCTAATATAACTTACATTTGCTTACCTAAAAGTGGTTCGTTTTCTACAGTGAAGTCTTTAATTTTAGGCAGTGAAAGGGATCCAATGCTTCGGCAACATAAGCTAAAAATTAAATAATAAATTAAACTTCATCCAAAATATGAATATTATGTACAATTATAATATTATAATGTAGGTAGATAAGATATTTGATTGTTTCATTTGTTCAAGTATATTTTATAACTCAGTATACAAGACCTGGTAGTTAATATTTCATATATATTTGATTTGGTATAGAATTTTAAATATTCATTTATCAGTCTATTTTGGTCAACGTTATTCATGTCTTCAGTTAAAAATACTGGTCAAGGTTGATCATGTGTCAACTAGCATTTATTCATACATGTTTTAAATAGATATTTAAAATGAGTGAAACACCCACCAAAATAATTTTAATACATTATATTGTTTTATTTTAACTATTTATAAAATAATCCTATTGCATTAATATATATTTGATACATTTATGAAAATGAAACAGTTGAGGTTAGTCTAATTGTATATAGAATATGGGATCCATTAGAGGTCTTGATTTTTATTTACAATTTTAGAATTGGAAAGTTTGCCAGTATTCAAACATTCTATTTTACATACTAATATTAGGTATACCTCAAACCTCGTCAAATCTTAGGCAAAATATGGAAAAATAATAAATACTATATTATTTTTGTTATAAATTTAATATAGATGTTTGTTTTAATATAATATATTAACATCTTAATATATTATATTAAAATATAGATATTTTTTTTTATTTTAATTGATTCCTTTTTAAATATATTTATTAATAAGTCAATTATTGTCAACTAAAATAATAAAATAAGTTTAATAATTTAAAACCCATACATTTTTTAAGGATAATAATAAATTTAAATGTGTAGGTATCAACCAGTTAAAAATCGTGTTTTTTTATCTTAATTATTTATTTACATAACAATAGTGGTTATGTAACTTGTTGCAAAATAAATTTAAAAACCATGACCCTAGGTAACATTGATAATTGGTTCTTAAGCACTCTCAGCTCTCTAAACTTAAACTCTTTACTAATAATAGACAATTGTAAACACTTGAAATTGTAAATAAATATTTAAAGAAAATCTTCTTTAAGTTTGAATCTAATTCATAGTTTTATGTAGGTAATTTATAATGTATACATGGATAGGTGTAACAACCTGTAATCAGTTATAAAAGTTTTAAGTTGACACAACCAACCCTAAATGCAATAATTTCAACAGCCTAGAATACCTCAGTATGTAAATCAATTAATGAGTCATTTTTGAGAGTAATTAGGTACTTTTAAAAGGTACACAAAATACACCAATAAACGACATTAAATTTAGGTTTTTCAATGCAAACCATTTATGTATTTGTGTGAAACCTTTGGTCATCTCGGTTTCTAACCCAACCTCAGACCATTGGTTACTCGAAAACCCCGTTTAAATACCTAATTCAGTTGAAGGTGCAGTCACCAAAAACGTCAGTAAGTGGTATATTTGAAAGTTTTTTTACCTTTGGAATCCTTTGAGCGTGGCCGATGAGAAACGATTGGCGTTCGACAACATCGTGATGTAGGTAAGTGTCATTCGTTTGACAGCGTACGATCTGATAGGCAAAAAAAGTGTATTGATAATAATGAATATACGTTATATTATTATGCTGTTATTTTTGAAAAAAAAAACGATTTATTCCCCCAGAGGAGGAAATGATTGACTTGGTGCAACGATATAGGGGCCTTAATATTGAACTATAAACAATAGACGATATAGGCACCTTATATTAAACTATAAACAATAGACGATATAATTACAAAACAATGATATCGAACGGCTGACAACGTTTACTGTGGTATTGTCATCAAAATAAATGTCGCGTACAGCGTATCACACTTGCATTGCACTAATGCAGTACTGCGGCCTGCGGGAACAATTTTGTATGTCAGTACTGTCAGTACTCTGTAGGAACGGTCTCAAAACGGGAGGGGATAAGGAAATTAAAAAAAAATTCTGTAGGACGTCGTTAAAAACACGGGTACGTGCTACGGCTGCAGCTACGGACAGCTGAGGGAACCGTCGACATTTCGACAAAAACACTATTTTAATAATGGCAAATGACAATGAAGCGTCGCAACTCGAGATTAATTACTATGCGTGATTATTTATTATTAAAACGGTAAAAGTTATGTAGAATGTAGATCATTGGACTGCCGACTTTCCCTCCTCTCGCCGCCTACTAATACTACTACTACTACTATACTAAATATTAATAAATAATAATTGTATTAACTATTAAGTATTATCTATTATTTTTCAATTATTAATACTATTATTATTTACTATGTTATATTTTCGTACGATCACACGCGACGGCGTACGACGACCTCTCTGACACACAGCCAACGCGATATTGAAACTGGGACAAGAATACAAAACAAGCGAGTAATGACAACAACGGTCGACGGAGGCAACACCGCAAATTCGAATCGGCGACCGCGGTCTCACAAGCCTCAACAGTTCAGAGTTCAGACGTCCAGTGTACACTGTACAGAGTTCTGAGTTACAAATTACAATACTACAGTGTACAACAATACTGTACAGTACTAGAAAGTGGAGACTTTGAAAGAGACACAATTAGTTACTAAACACCACTACGGTAGCACCACCACCGCGACACAGTACTACAGTTGTAGTAACTAATCAGTTATCAGTAATCACTACTCACCACCAAACTATTACCATTTACCACGCATAGCGATGGCGGTGGACGGTGTCCCTCGATTGGGCAAATGACGATGCGCGGTTGGTCGATGTCGGTTGCCAAAATGAAATCAACGAAAATTACCACGGACGCGGATCCGTAAGTGCTGCCAACGTAAAAGCTCTGCGACAGCAATATTGTCACACCAGTCATTTCGAAGTCGAAAAACGAGATGGAGCCAATATCCCCCTCCCTCTCCTTACAGAATCCAGAATACAGATCACCTATCCCATCGGCTGACCGAGTGACGAGTGACGACGTTAGACGTCCGACCGGCGGTTAAATTAAAATAACGGTCGCAGTTGCTGCTTGCTAATTACACAACCTTTCAATTCATCTAAGCATCATATTATTATATACGTATATTATATAGCGTCAAATGTTAATATATGATTATTATTTATTACTTATTAGTCAAACATCAAAAGTGATCGTTTATTACGCTGTCCACTTAATTGCTCACTGACCACTGATCAGTATTCACTATTCAGTAATACCGTGACGCAAAAGTGTTAAACTACATTTCTTACCAAATTACATTTAAATTAACTTAAGCCCATAAAACAGTTAAAAAACTTAGATAATATAGCTTATGAATTATGAATTGTATTATTATAACAATGCATTAGAACAACTTGCACGGATCCTGAGCAAAGATCTGGGAGGGGCCCCAAAAATTTTTTTACAACACAAATCCAATTATAATAAAATATTATACTTAATTCTTAATTTAAAAATGTTGTCATAATAGTAGGTATAGGATAAATAAATAAGGTATGTGATAAATAAATTATTGATTATTTAATATATAAAGCGACAATGTGAAAAGAAGTTTAGATTTTGTTTATTTGTTATTTAATATATAATATTTATATTTATAAAAAAATATGTCTGGGGGGGCTGGGCACCTAGGCCTCCCTGGATCCATCCCTACGACCCTACCCCCAATGGCTATCTTTTTACGCACCCGTTTTTTTTACGTCGATAGCCCGCATTGAAAATTCCTGAGAATGCGCCACTGTAAAAATATAAAATTATAAACTATTAATATATTAGAACAAAATATCCCTTATTTTAAACAAAAAACTAATGATTTAATATTCTTTAATTTATAATATAAGTGGATACTTTACATAAGCAAAGCGTCAAGTTCGTATTGTTTACTGAAATCAATTATCAATAGTCAACGTTTAATGGGCCAATATAGTGATTAGATAATGTTTGATGTTAAAGGAACTTACCTAAATGTTAAAAAATCCATTACTCTTATAAATATTTGTTATTAAAGGATAACTCTTTAGTTGTTGTAAATAAAATTGTTGAAAAAAATCTTGGTCATAATACATACATTTACTATTTAGGTACTTGTAAAAAAGTTTTTAAATTTTAAAGAGCTTATTGCAATACCATTTTCATCCATCGATGTCGGAATTTATTTAGTCAATGTAAATTAACTATCTAATAGTTTAATAGTTACTTAATTAATATTTCAGATGTTAAGTACTTAAGTATAAAACGTTCTGTCTCCGATTGTGTGGCAATTCATCAATTATGGTTACATTGTGCCACATTTGTGCAATTTTGATTTGTTAATGTTGTTTAAAAAACATATATATATTTAAGAAGCATAGATACATGCATAATGTTTAATAAAATTGTATGTATTTTTAAATTTATTTGTTATTACCACAGTGTACAATTTTTATAGTATTTGTGTATGGCTTATATAAATTGTATTTTTTAAAATGTCTTATGTTCTTTTAAAAATATACATAAATACAATATTAATATAAATGTTCATGTAACTATGTAAGTGCACATTCAATTAATTTGTATACATTTATAATTTTTTATGTATCAAAATAAATACAGTGGAATCCGCTTATTGTGGGCAACAAGTCTGGTCCCAATACAAATGTATATTAACAATGTTAAATCTAACCGCGTAATATGGGCATTCGATTCGGTTTATGTGATCAATTTTATTTTATCATAGCGTTAGAATATACACATATTATGTATTCAAAAACGACTAATTTAATCGGATTTCGTCATATCTATGAGATTGTGTTTATCGAAAGTAATAAAAATCATTATGCCATTTAAACATATTACATAATGGGATTTTGATGTGTGTAAATGTTATTAGATGCGATAAAAATAAAGCGATAGACGGCACGCGTCAATAACCGCATTTCAGTTTTAACGTGAATTTCAACGTGACAATACGTACAATATGTCTCGAAAAGATCTCTCCCTAAAGGAAAAATTCGCGATTTTAGACAAAGTGAATAATTTGTTGCATAAATTCTTCATGCAAGAGGGTAACGAAAATAGTCCGTCTGATAAGCTTGAAGCGTGTGCCTATTTTGTTAACCAGATCCACACTAAACAGCTTAGACAACGAACAATTCCAACGTTTTGTATACCTTCCACATCCAAATATTAATTTTATAATTTATTTATTGTATATTATATTTAATTTAATTTATATAGTAATTTTTTCACTTTTTTTCAGTTATATGGTACCTAATAAAAATAAAAACTTTTTTGTATTATAATTTTTTTTTTTTTTAACTAATTTCGGTTTTTATGGGCAACCAGGGCCGTAGCAACCGAATATTGCGCCCGGGGCGAAACTTCAAAATGCGCCCTTAAGTATTTTAATTTATAAAAAAACTAAACACTGTATATTATTTACTGTTAATTATTGGGTATGGTGTCGATGTGTAATGGTGTAAATACTAAATATCTCGAATAAACTGTATGGAAAAAGTTCACAGCAACAAATAGATAATACAGAAAACAATAGATTACGGCCCTTTTACCAATACCATAAATAAATAATAAATATACAGCTATTTGAGCTGTTGAGAAAAAGTAATAATAAATAGGTAAATGTATTAAATAAACTCACAATTTGGCTATGCCTGCTGGCCACCTGCTGCTAATATAAAATATTAAAATATAATTAACAGTGATCTACTGCGGCCACGATATTATAATTAATAATTTGTAAAAAATATTACGTTTAACACGGGAAATAACGCCCAACAAAGATAATATTACAAAAAAAAGTACGTAAACGAGACGATTTGACGACGAATAATAAATAAATACTGGCAATTGGCGCGCTCGCGCATATCGCATATGATTAAAAATAATAATAAATACAAAACTTGTAAACATTGCGACGGACGCATCGATTCGCAATCACGTAATCACGTGACATAATCATAACAATATTAATAATAAATAATAATAGATATATTATAAGATGTATAAGAAATAAGAATAGATGAAATGCTCGGCGACAACGCAAACATAATTGGTAATTCCACATTTCCATAAAATAGTAATTATTTTTAATCAATTATTAAGAATTATTTCTTAAGTGTAAGGTCTTCCTGTACGTTGATAGATTGTATATACTAACTATTATTGGTTTTATACTTTTATATAAAATATATAATAATTATTAGATATTATTTTCAACTATGCTTCAATTAATATACCTCAAGGGCGTTGAAGTTTTTGTAAATAAAATATACAACACTGACCGCTGTAATTTTTAACATAAAATTAAAATTTATAATTTTTGCGCCCTCCCGAGAAAATGCAAATTTTTCATTTTTTGCGCCCTCCCAGGAATTGCGCCCGGGGCGTAGGCACCTCTTGCCCCCCCCCCTTGCTACGGCCCTGTGGGCAACCGTTTAATGTGGGCAAACAGAGCTGGTCCCAACGTGCCCACATTAAGCGGAATCCACTGTATATTATATATTATATACCTACATTACATTTATTGTTATGAATTGTTTTGATAAATTTACTACAGTATACAAACATTTTTGCAATAACAATTGTTTTATTTAATGTTTTATACCTATTAGGTATATAAATCCTAATTTTATAGTAAGCAATACGCATGGCCGCATGGGTTAGGTTAAGTCCTTTGAGTGTCAATTTATTCTGGATGTGTAGGTATCAAAAATATATTTACCAAAGTTTTTAAAAGATTTAGGACATTAATTATTTCCAGTTATTGTAATAGCATATATTTTTGCATGTAATTATAATAATTTATGAATATATTTCATGCCACATGAACATATATATACCTATATATTTTATAGTTTGTATGTGTGTGTGGGGGGGGAGGTACCAGACCAGATGTACATTTGAAGTCACTAAGGAACATAACGGGAACATATTACCTACTTAAAACTATTATTTGATAGTATACTTAAAAATGTCCCAGGAATAGTTTTCAGAAAAACATCACTGTAGTGTTTCTAAAACACTATTCACGTAATAATGTAATATAATAGGTATATGATAACAGTTACTTATGTCACAGACTATATTTCATAATTTCATATAGTCTGTGCTTATGTTTTATACAATGTTACAAGGAACACCGCATAAGGCGTTCCTGAGTTGTTATTGGAACTTCTACGTAAGTTATTCCATAGGAACGTATTTCAATGTTTTTTGGAAACTTTTATGTAACTGGAACATTATTTTGCACGTTGTGATTGATGTCTTGATCAATAGACAATAATAGTAGTTTGTGCAACTCGAACACTAGAATAGTACTTTTAATATAAAATATTATTTTATACAAAGTGGTGACTATCCTATGGTCTACAAAAGTATCAACCTAATATTTTATTTTACTAGGTACCTACCTATTAATACAGTGGATTAAATTAATTTTTAAAATGTCATTGTGACTATTATGTGTATAAAATAATTATTATATTATACACATACTAATAGATAGGTACCTAGTAAAATAAATTAGGTAGGTACTTTTATATAATATAACTAAAATATTATTATTATTCATTTATATACCTATCTAATTTCATCCAATTTGATTTCAAATTTCTACACAAAAAACTGTGTTATATTTTTTTAAAGTTTTTGTTATAGTATGAACACTATGAACTATACATAATATGAGAAAACTTGTTTTAAATGTTCAACTCTTAGCTATAAAAATTGAACATATTATACATTTTTACATAGGTACATAATAATTTGAAAATTTTCGTGATTTTTAAAAAAAATTTTAACTTTAAATGCTTATACCTATATAAAATCTTTAATATTTTTAAATTTTTATAATAACAACTTATGAGGGAGCTTGTATTATATTTTCAGTCCTTTTGACTTTACAATGAATTTTTTACTACCATTTATATCTAAAAAAAAAAAAATAATGTAAAATATCTAAAATGTCACAATATCAAAAATCGATTGAATGGAAATAGTTAAGTGAATCTCAAATATCATAGGGTTGTCCAATGTTTGAACTCTGTGGCCTGTGATCTGTTATCCCGATGAGCATACACATAATTCTACAGAATGCTTTTATGTCTGTTATACAATTCAATTACATGCTATAATAATTTTAAATTATATATATATATTTTCCTTTAGAAAATGGTTGTTTAATGTTTAAATTAAAAATACATATTACCTATTTATTTTGTGACTAATTTATAAAAATAAAGATTTTGTTTTAAATTATATTTAACAAAAATGTGACATACTGATTGAATATTGGTAATTTGTATTTGCTAATAAATGCTTGTAGGTGGGCAGTTATACTCAATAACGACAGTAATACATTTATTTTAGCATAGCATCTGCCCACGGCCCGCCACTGTTTATGGCCAGATATAATATTATTGTATCTACTTATTATTTACCTAGTTATAAATTATAACTTGTAAACAGCGTTTGGAAAAAATGTTTACGTTCAAAATTTGTTAACAATACAATATATGCGCTCACTTATATACCTACATCAATTAGAGGATGAACGGAATTCATATGTTTAAAAATCATAAACAATTTTTAGGGTAATCAAATGTAATTCTTTTTTAAATAGTATTATTTATCATGTTATTATACGCACATGGTGATATTGAAAAATTTGTATTATTATATGATATTTAAGATATTTTTTTAATGTTTATACAACTTTAAAAGTACAGGTATGTGTTCACTGTTCAAAACAACTATATAAGCTACTACTACTATTTATTTTATGGATGTTATTAATGTTGTTAGAATCCTGTATTTTATTAAACGGTAAAATAGGTCAGGTTTCAAATTACTTAAAATTACTGGTTGCTAACAATGTTAAGACTTAGGTTATATAATTTATAATGGAAATTTACAATACTTTTACAACTGATAAACTAATTTTTTACTAAATAGAGTTATCAGTTATGTAAGATTTAATTATAACATATATAAAAAACAACTATTTAAAATTGATAACTCACTCAAAATTTGATTTAAAGATTTATAAAACAAAAATTTAAAGTAATGACCAAATAAAAGTTTTCATTTTATAAGAAGGTCAAATATTCCTTTACAAAAAAAATTGAATGTAAACTTCAAACAAATTAAATTTTCAAGTTAACTTTCCAAATACTGCTTATAAGTTGTGGTAAATAATTTTACCCTAAAACTTTCAGTAACAAGAGAAATATTTCAAACAAACTTTGGTAAAAACTAAAATATAAAACATGCTTAGCTTTTTAAAGCCAATACATATGAATTTATACTGTAAAATCAAGGTAGATAACTAGATATTAAATAACCGTGTGTAAAATGCACTTTATATAACTATATTTGTAATATGTGTATACACCTTAATATATTTTTAATTAAAATTCATAGACATAATTTAATTCTGAATAATAATTGAATGTTTATATACAGTGAATAATATTCCTATAAAATTGATGCATAAAGAAAACAGTAATGCAAAGTTCACAATAGAATTCTAAGCTGTTCGTCTTTTGGTACTTTATTAAGCAATAAGCGACCATCATAACTTAAAGAAGCTAATATCTACGAATCTGCAGAGGACCATTCAACACAATACACAGAATCTTCATGTTGATCACTCATGACTACTATTTTATCTTCAATGGAAGGTTTTGTTTTTAACAGCTGATGAAGAAATTCCAGTTAAACATGTAATAAGGACTTGATGTCACTTGATGCTGTTCCAATTAAATCGTCGTGAACTGGGTTATATCTAAAACAATCAAATAACAAAACAAAATATTATGGTGGTTGTTTAAGTTTAACTCAAAAATAAAGTAGACTGTTCATTTAATTTTAAAAACAAGACTTCTAGATCAAAAATCTAAAAAATGTTAGTTGCATTTAGGTTTTCAAATTAAGTTTAACTTGAAACACCATCATTTTTTACTTTCACTAATTGATAAATATATTCAAAATTTCTCAGATCTCTGTGAAATAAACTGTAATATTTTCTATCTATTTATTTTATATGAAATTTTCTAAGTTAGGTTTCATAAAACCTAAAATATATAGTTTAATATGTACTATAAATGAATTAAGGAGGACGGAGTGGCCGAGTGGCCTAAGGTTGCGACGCGCACTGACGCCTGATGGCCATAATTGTAGGGCTTGAGTTCAATAAAAAAATTAATAAATTATTGTTATAAAATATATTTAGTATTTCATAAAATTAAAATATTCTGATACAGAATAAAAATAAAAAGTATTCGAAGTTACCTTTTAATGGCCTTTTAGTGATAAAATATGAAATACTATCTAATTACAATGCTGTATAAAAAATAGTAAACATTTTAAGAAACATATATTTTCACTGAATGGTAATTAATGTTATGTATTTCATCATAATACGATTGTGTTATATTACCTAAGAGACCAAATCCAATGAGAATGATCAGTACGGGATATCAGAGGTTGTCTGGGATTACGTATATCCCAGAACTTAGAATATCCATCATCACCACATGTTGCCATATAGTATTGACGATTTGGATTAAAATCAAAATCTCTAAAATTATTTCAATATTATTATAGTAAGAACATATTACATTTGAACATTTGAGATCAGAAAACAACTAAATATTTACAACATGTACAATATATTTTTTACTATTACTAAAAAATAATCTTTATTTTGTTTAATATGAAACTATTAAAAAGTACAAACATAAGTAATGTGTCTTGTACATATGGTAAAGACATTTTTTAGTTTTATTAATTTTGAGCTTAAAATGTATTATTTGAAAATATCATAATTCTTAAGAGGAGGCATGTGTTTTCTCCGTCTTACAAGTATGTAACATAGCAAATTATATGCTCAATAGAACATGGGCAGCTCCAATAATTAAAAAAAATAGAGTAAATTGACCTCTTGTAACATTTAAAGGTAAAATTATTATCTAGGCAATATCATATGCTTTTTATTATATTTTAATTTTAAAGCAAATTGAGTAATGAGTAGGTATTTTAAGATGTACAAAAAATTTTCAAATTTACAATTAAAATTCTAATAACTTGCTTTAAAATTAAAATATAATAAAAAGCATATAATATTGCCAAGATAATAATCTTACCTTTAAATTTTATATGAGGTCAGTTCACTCCAATTTTTAAACTAACGGAGCTATAAGCATACATGAGGCTGAGCATACAATTTGCTATATTACACACTTGTAAGATAGAGACAACACATGCAAGCATCACATCCTCTTACCTCTCAACGAGTCAAGATGATAGAGTATCGGTAACACCTGCACGTGTAACGGAGGGTGAACGTTTACAAAATTATCGTGCTAAAAAAAAAGAGCAGAAACTTCAAAATAATCATTCCGATGCGATATTAACACTCTCCCCGGTACCGTTAACAAATGCTGAGCGTGCAAAAAATTACCGTGAAAGACAAAAACAAAAAGAACTTGGAAATAATCTTGATGAAATAGTAGCATCATCTCCTGCACGTGTAACGGAGGCTGAACGTTTACGAAATTATCGTGCTAAAAAAAAAGAGCAGAAACTTCAAAATAATCCCGATGCGATATTAACCCTCCCCGGCACCGTTAACAAATGCTGAACGTGCAAAAAATTACCGTGAAAGACAAAAACTAAACTTGGAGACTGAATCTAATAATTTCAATATTGCTGATTGTTTAGCAGCAAATCTCGAAAATAATTTAGATACGTAGAATGACATAGAATCTTGTCCATACCCTGATTATGGTCGTAAAATTGGAAGCTGAAAATGTCCCTAAACAGTTCAAAACAATTCAAAATATTTTGAAAATTTTAAAGTGTAGGTATAGAGAATGCTAATACAAACAACCAGTGAATATTTCATGTATATACGCCGGAAGGCAGGGCCGCATTTAGGGGGGTACAATGGGTGCGATTGCACCGGGCGGCAGATTTAAGGGGGCGGTCGTGGACTGTGTTCTCTAGAAACAGGTTTCTTATCAATCTTTTGGGGGCATATTTTACAAAGATTTAATGTAGTCAGTAAAAAATTACAATCTGTGAATATTGATTTGGGTATTGTAGTTGAGTTGTATAATTCATTAATAGTTTATGTGACAGATTTTCGCTCTGATGATGCTTACGAACATTTTAAATCTTTAGCAATTGAAAAAACAGGTATTAAAGACTTTAAAAACAATTTAAAACGTCAAAAAAAGAGAAAAAAAATTTTTGATGAAGGACTGTCTGAAAATATGGACGTAATTTCGATAGAAATATTCAAAAGTGAAACCTACTTTATAATGTTGGATAAATTAATTAATGAACTAGAAAAAAGGAAAGAATCGTATGACCACCTTCTCGAAAACTATATTTTTTAAACTGACTATTTTGTCAGTTGCTGATGTTTATATGTACGCTGCTAGACTACAAAAAGAATATCTCAATGATTTGGAACCATCTTTTATAAATGAATGCCTACATTTTAAAGGCCATTTAAAAAGTAATGGCAGTGATGCTCCAAATACCATACAAGATATGTGTGCATTTATAAGGCAAAAAAATGTTGTAAATATTTATCCTTATATTGATATTTCCTTGAGAATGTTGCTATGTACACCTATTAGCAACTGTTCAACGGAAAGGTCATTCTCAGGTCTGAAGAGAGTAAAATCGTATTTAAGATCATGTTCTAAAGAAAATAGACTCAACAGTTTGGCAATGATGACCATAGAAGCGGATTTAACATCGAAAATTGATTACAATTGTGTAATCGAAGAATTTGCAACATTAAAATGCAGAAAAAAATGTTAATAAAAAATTGTCCACAAAACTTGACCATTAATTAAAAGTATTTATTAAATTATTTAGTGACCTAACTTTACTAATTACTATATACTACAAATACTGATTAAAAAAATAAAATAAAAATATATTATAGGTTTTATTTTTTCAGTTTTTCAATTCTTAATTCCTAATTTATTTATCTACAACTGTAAGCTTTTTGTAAACGTAATTTGTTATTTGTTTAACAAAAATTATTAGTATTTATGTAAACTGAAACGAGAGGGGGCGGCAGAATTTGATTGCACGGGGCGGCTAAATCTTAAATGCGGCCCTGCCGGAAGGTCATTTTTTTTATGAATACCTAACTAATTAAATTATTTGCACATAATCTTTTTTATTATTTTATTGGAAAAGTCAGGAAACAATCATAAAAAAGTATTGTGATATCCATGGATTTGTTTTAGCATAAAAAATAAATTTACACAATTTACCGGATATTTACCTGAAATAAACCTGTGATTATCAAATTATTGTGCGTACAGGTCTTGATCATATATAATGGATAGAGCGATGACATTGTGTTTTTTAATAACTTATTAACTATTAATGTATTTAACTATTTTAATTATAATTAATAATATAATAAAATATTATATTATAATTTATTAATTTATAATGAAAATTATGTTAACGGTTTATCAATGTTATCACATTATGATAACTGCAAAAAAGGGGCTAAATGTAGGCAATATTATATTGAGCATACATATTAACACTAGGAGCGCTGTCAACGCCTATCGTACCATAGAACAATATAGAAGCGACACTCGATCAGCTGATGGGTGAAGTGTTTACCTATGATCTGAAGTCCGAACATTCAAACTGTTTCCGTTTACCAACATGATGTTATACTCGTATTGAAAAACCGTCTCCGATTAATAGGCAGGGTATTCTGCGCGGGTCGGGTTGTTTCCAGCATTGAAAAATTGTTTCCACTGTTTACTGTAACGTATGCCACGCCCCTTTAGAGACCATTTTCAAGGCCACAATCTCCCGATCCGACCAATTCACGGAGTGTCGTACCCCTGATCGTACTGTAGTCTGTAGGTTTGGCGGGTTCCCCCTACTTGGAGTCGGGACTCGGGAGATTGTATGTATTTTCCCGACACTTCGCGTTCGCATACATTTTGCTTTAAATAAAGTGTATTTGAATGTATTTGATAATATAAGTAGGAATTGTACTTAACAAAGTATACAGTTAGCTATAAAAGCGTATAAAGTTTCGATAACAAAATTAATTTATTATAAAAAGTAAAATAACCAATATAAAGCTATATCTATACATCCCGAATCGGAAGGTACAAATTGTTTCCAACAGAGCGCGTTTTGTTAATCTGCTTCCCCAATACGGACACAAAAAGCGCTAGTTGTAATCACGAATTAAAATATACTGGATACCCAACGATACATGATAAGACGCTCCTAAACTGACTTTCAATGTGCAAAGGTGCACTAGCGCTCCAACGGAATTAAATGTATACTAATGGATTGACTATTTAAAATTTAAAATATTATATTATTATTATGCATAAAGTATAAATAACAAATAATATGATGATTTTTTCGAATGATTAATTTAAAACATTCAAGCATTTCCTTATTACTGACTACTGTAGTCTGCAATATAATAATTAATAGGTACCATTCTAATTTCTAATTATTCAATATTCTACTATGACAAAATAGATTAATAAAGTGTTAAGTGGAAGGTAAGTAGTATTAACTAATAGCATAGAATAATAGGTACCTAGTAAAAGAAAAATACACATTTAATTATTTAATGAATATCAATTACATCTTTTTTATTACATAGTACATATAATTTTACATATTTATTAACATAGATACCCAATACAAATTGCATAAAATACTTACAAAATTATTAATTACATACCTATACAGTTGAAACTTCAATTAAATTAGTCAACAAATCATGTTTTAACTAATTTGGATAATTTTTTTTTTGTTTTACTTTGTTTTTTTTGAGTTTTGATTCATCAAGTAAGAATACTGCCTCATTCTCATAGTTTTATAATATGAAAAAATATTTGTTAATATATCAGCTTGATGTTCTAAGCAACTAGCAAGGAAACTTTAAACCAATATTCAAGCTAAAAAAGTCATTATATGTATCTTCAAACACATCACAAGAAGTGGCATGTTTTGAAAAACATGTTTCAAGATGTTTTAGTATTAAGTATAAATTTCGATCTGGATGAGTTAGGTATCCTCTAGTTTTATTATTAAGTAAATCAGCTTTACTACCGACAGTTGAAGTATTTAAATTTTTTATACTTACTATACATAACTGGCACTTAGTACTCTTTACCAATCGTTTAGCAATGTACCTATTTGAAGTAGGTAAATAAGGTAAATAATAGTGTTATTTAATTAATGCTATTACCTAATTCATAAAATATTTTACCCAGCCATAAAATAAACAACACAGTCAAAAACTGTAGTCTGCGTAATCATGCTCCAACAAAAAAATATTTTGAATTAATGAAAAATGGCCAAAATGGGAAATCTATTACAGTTATAAACACGAATTAAGATAAACATCTATTTTAATTCTTGGTTCTAAACAATGTCCAATGATAGTAATTAACATGACGAATTGACGAATCTATTTTGTCATGGTAATTTATTTAATTCCAAATATTTACAAATTTGGCGGTAAATTATTTTGTAAAAGTTGCCACAAATATGATAACAAGCGCTAGGTGTAGTTTGCAACAGCTGTTCTGACAAGTCAGTTTGGGTCCAAGAAAAATAGTTGTTCATATAGGTCGTTGGGTATCCAGTATATTTTAATTCGTGGTTGTAATTCTTAGTGGCAATTCTCCTATGCCCTATGGAAACGTAGCGCACTGCGGCACTTGTGTTTCAGAATCTATAGGTTCAATACCTATAGATTCTGAGACATAAGTGCGCAACGTTTCCATCTTAGCTACATCCGTGTGGCGTGTATCTCGGTTAAAGATAGTTGATACCTATTATTTATTAATATTACAAATTTAAATTATAAGCTAAGTACTTAATAAAACAATTCCCATTTATTTATATTTTATTATTGAACTTATGATTTTTATTTATCTGTGACTTGTGTTGAGTGTCGTAACTTGTAGAGTCTGATCATTAATGGTTTATTATATTTTATAAATTTCACTACCAATAACTTTTAACGAACAAATTAAAAAATATTTTTAAAGGTAAGATCACCAAGATCTCAATTGTTTTTAATCCAAATTACATATTCCATTATTGTACCTAATTTGTTATTTATGTTCATAATATTATAATGTGTATATTAATTAGAATTCAATTTATTGATCCAAGAATTTAGATTTTTGTATGAAACATCAAAAAATTTAGATTTAAATTATCTTCAATATAGATATATATTTATCCATAATGTATACAAACTTATGTTGACTTTTTTTAATTTACATTGATATTGAGTAGACAATATTATATAATATTATGATTTTTAATTCCCAAAATGTATGTCATGATATCTGTTGATGTCATTCCGACAACTTTTCCCTAACCTAACAATTTTTGTTGCTCTTCTGCTGTAGGCTTGTAACTCCTTTTGAGGTTTGAGCTATATCTGAACACCCCTGTTTTAAGAATTGTTACTGTCCTGATTATCTTGTGTATTATTCTCAATGGTACCTATTACTTGTGTAACTATCTAAATAAAAAAAATGGTGACAATATTTTATCAATACACACTTGAGAACGAAGTGTATTGGTCTCTTTTTGTAGTTTAACGAGGTGTACTTGATTATTTGATGTGACCAACGACTGAGTTCCGATTAAAAAACAGTCTTGATCGCTTTCAGCTTGCAGAGAACACAACGATCGGGCCTTAAATGTAAACAGACTTGATAGAAAATTACTCATTTCCCAACTGTTGAAAGGAAGCGATTAATAAAGTAATCCAAACAATGTTAAGTAGAATCAATAAAAAGATTTTTAATACAGTGAATAATTAACCATATAATAATACAATGAACTCAGAAACGTATACCACCCACGGGTTCGCATATCTCGACTGCCATAAGAACTGAATTATAATAATACTATAGCTAATATATCTAACTGCAGTATACACACAATATTGAAAATATGTCAACTCTGCATTTTCGCTTTCCTTATACATGTATAACTATATACCTAATCTACGGTATGACAATACCACTTATTGTATACAATCTACAGGGTGAAAACTAAATTATAATTTAATATTTCAACACCAACAACATATAACTATGTTTTTATTATTATCTAAGTACCTGAAATTCAACTCCATAAATTAGAGGATTGTTGGACATAATGTTATTCGAGTTATTCGACATTACTTTCTTGTATTCAATTTCAAATCTTTTAAGTTAAAATGTCAATAAATGTCATCTAACATCTACATGAACATCTTACGATCTACAAAAGTAGTAAGTACTAAATAGGAATTGAATATTAAGTATTAACTTGAATTTGGACTTAGTACTATCTGATATTTCTACCAGTATTCTTTAAACTACTATATCTACTTTTAGTAAATTATTACCATTGATTATACATAGTTTATACTATAAGTATAATCAACGTTATTACTAATTAATTGGCATTTGGCATATTATTTAATATTTATTATTAATGCTCTATTAGTCCAGTCAAGGAATGAGGTGTAGAGTGCGTGAGCAGGTAACTTAGCGATTCCTTCAGAAACTTGTTCGGGGGGCTTAGGGTATTAACATACTAAAAGTCCTGACACCTAGGTGGTGAGGGGGGTTAAAGTTGCGCTTTTTGGGTTTTTCGCTTATATCTCGTAAACGGTGCATCGGAGGAAAATTTTTTTAAATAACAAGATAAAGCTCATGAAATTATCTAAAACTTTTATATCATATGTTTTTTTCGAATTCACAACCGTTTTCGAGCTACACCTTCGAAAAAAGTAGAATATTACAAAAAAAAACCATTTACCTCCCTATATTCATAAAACAATCCATCATATTGTCTAAACCTATTCATAAACTAAAAATATGCATAGAAAAGAAGTTGTAGATATTTAAATTCACTTTCAGAATATATACACATATATTAATTGTTAATCTCCAAGCTGCCTAAATTTATAGCTATTTTACAACTTTCATAACATTTTGCAATTTTCAGAAAATGTACTTATAGGTATATCATATTCTTGACCCACAACCTTTGTTCGTTTATGTAATAATATATGTGGCCACACTTTTAAGAAGTAAAACAGACAAAAATAATGATAATACACACTTTATTTTACAGATAAGTAGTTCTCAAGTAATTCTTAATTTTACATGCAATCATATTTTCATTTTCTTTGAATTTGAGGGCCCAGGTTGTTCATCCATTGCATCTTTGTCTGTAGTAATGGGTGCCTCTTGCTCTTCATCGTCCTTATCTTCAACAGGCACGCTGTTCATGCATTTACCTTGGCAGTGGAGGCACGCTGCAGAACAAGTCAGCATTGCTTTCCGGCAGCCACTTTTTCCAATCATACAATATCATATCACGGAGCAGGTTTTAGGCATAAATAAAGTCCGATAATGTTAGTCAATAATTAGTTATCTATACATATAAAATCCAAATACCACTGACTCACTGATCGCTGTATCTCAAAAACTACTCAACGTACGGACTTGAAATTTGGAATAGAGGTTCTTCTCATATTTTCACCGTGCAATAAGAAAGGATTTGCGAAAATTCGCATTTTAAATAGGTGCTCAAACAGGGACATTGAGATTCACGATGGAAATTGGAAATTTTATTTTTATTTATTAATAGTTGCCATTGGTTACAGTCTACAGTAGAAATTAGCATTTATTTATTGGTTGCCATTGGTAAATTGGTTATTCGGGCAGATCAGGTACAAGCTTGCATCAAATCGAAATATTGAACATTGCCTACCAAGGTGGCTGAGTTGCACTTACCGCAGCAAGTTACACCCAAAAGGAGTTCAACAATCATAATTTTTTTAAGAGTTGCGATTTTTTACGAGCAACCAAATTTGTTATATTAATCCACCGTATTATATCAAAATAAACTTGGTATAACTTTGATATTTTAGAGTTAAATCATACACTTCCGTATAAACAGCACGGGGTCCGCGATCTACCTGATAATGTACTGCTGCGATTCAGAATTTTTATTAAGGGCAACGGAAAAGATAAGATAAATTTTGAACACCATACACCGAATATTGAATAACGAATTGAACAAAGTTTGAGTCATATTGAGTTGATACATTTATCGGGAGACGAAGTACACGGGGATCAGCTAGTAATATTATATAGAAATACGGGTAACGGAATGACAAGTTGAACACTCGAACATTTCCAAATATTTACTATTATATATTTATATCTATATTTATTACTAGCCAACAATATTATAGTCTATCATTAAGTTTATAATCGCTATTAATATTTTTAGAAGTTGGATGGAAATTATCATTTTATGAACAAATGGTGATGTAGTTTAAATTTATATAAGTAATAAGTAGAATATGTAATATAATATGTTGTATAACATTTTTATTGCAAGAATAAATTGAAAAAAAATTAAAAACTCAATTTATGCATATATTAATTTTTTAATAAACACAAATGCCCTAATCTAGATGTTTTTTGAGGGAGGGTCATCCAAGGAAAGGGGTGGCAGAGTAAAAAATGAAAAAAACGAATATGGTAGATATTATGATGGATTGTTTTATGAATATAGTGAGGTAAAATGGTTTTTTTTGTAATATTCTACTTTTTTCGAAGGTGTAGCTCGAAAACGGTTGTGAATTCGAAAAAAACATATGATATAAAAGTTTTAGATAATTTCATGAGCTTTATTTTGTTATTTAAAAAATTTTCCTCCGATGCACCGTTTACGAGATATAAGCGAAAAACCCAAAAAGCGCAACTTTAACCCCCCTCCCCCCCTCCGGCTCACCACCTAGGTGTCAGGACTTTTAGTATGTTAATACCCTAAGCCCCCCGAACAAGTTTCTGAAGGAATCGCTAAGTTACCTGCTCACGCACTCTACACCTCATTTTGGGTCATTCATTGACTGGACTATATGCTAATTTTTAATCTGATATTATGTTATCTGTGTAAAATATTGAATATTCCTTAGATCATATACAATGGATGGAACTACTTGGACACAGCTCGGTATACGAAAAATACACACATAGCTCCATCCATTGTATATGATCTAAGGAATATTCATAGGGTCAGCAGCTGCTGCAGGCCCATGAGAATATTCGACTGATAAGAAACTATATATTATTATCACAAATAAAAATCACTATCAGACATCAGTATTCACTATTCAGTAATCCGGTAGTCCGGTTAATATAGTTATCTATGGTCAAATACCACAGAACAATTACTATATATATACGATCGTATATAGTATTTGCTATGGTCCGGTCTCCGGAATCCTCAATCCATGGCAAAAGCTCCTTACGAATCTGAAACGTTTTTGTCTTAATAGTTAATTTTCAACATATTTTAAAATCTTTAAAAATGGCGATGGCGTCGGTGTCCGTAGAATTTCAAAACCTCACATTGTCTGAATGCTTCGACCAAGGCCTGTCGTCTTACGAGAGTATTTGCGAATCTACAGAGCCGGCCAAGGAATCTGGAACGCAGGTTTGTGGGTTGAACTCTGGCTTTTGGGTCTGGGAAAAAAAACGCGAAAATATTTCTAAGTCCATATCACATCTATAATATTATCACTACAGCAATACTCTGCAGTGTTGCCATAATAATAATTTTATGTACCACAATAAAAATTTATACTACGTAATAATGGTAATAATCACAAAAGTATTCTAAGTTCAAAATAATCAATTTATTCACTCGTTCATTTTCCAAAGTAATTAAGTCCAAAATAATATTTCAAAAGTGTAAACTATTACGACCACCTAGGCTTTCGGATTTTTAATTTTTCGATTTTCCGACCACTTTTCACGGACCACCTTGGCTTTTGGGTCTGGGAAAAAATGTCAAAATATCGAAAAACGTCTAAGAGGTTTTTTATTCGTATACTGTATTAGAAAAACATCCGGTAGTCACATTTTTAATTTTTCGATTTTCCGACCACTTTTCACGGACCACCTTGGCTTTTGGGTCTGGGAAAAAATGTCAAAATATCGAAAAACGTCTAAGAGGTTTTTTATTCGTATACTGTATTAGAAAAACATCCGGTAGTCACATTTTTAATTTTTCGATTTTCCGACCACTTTTCACGGACCACCTTGGCTTTTGGGTCTGGGAAAAAATGTCAAAATATCGAAAAACGTCTAAGAGGTTTTTTATTCGTATGCCGTTATAGAAAAACATCCGGTAGTCACATTTTTAATTTTTCGATTTTCCGACCACTTTTCACGGACCACCTTGGCTTTTGGGTCTGGGAAAAAATGTCAAAATATCGAAAAACGTCTAAGAGGTTTTTTATTCGTATACTGTATTAGAAAAATACCATGTAGTCGGATTTAAACCTTTTTAGTTTAGCACTCTGGACACTGACAGTCTTCAATGTCTCTGGCCATAGGTATGTATCCAATACCAGGATATGCCCTTCCTATGTCCCTCATAAACCTACAGAATTGCTGCTGTATACCACCTTCCCGGTTTAAAATATTAGTGTGGTACATCCACCTTTATTCGTATACTGTATTAGAAAAATACCATGTAGTCGGATTTAAACCTTTTTAGTTTAGCACTCTGGACACTGACAGTCTTCAATGTCTCTGGCCATTGGTATGTATCCAATACCAGGATATGTCCTTCCTATGTCCCTCATAAACCTACAGAATTGCTGCTGTATACCACCTTCCCGGTTTAAAATATTAGTGTGGTACATCCACCTTTATTCGTATACTGTATTAGAAAAATACCATGTAGTCGGATTTAAACCTTTTTAGTTTAGCACTCTGGACACTGACAGTCTTCAATGTCTCTGGCCATTGGTATGTATCCAATACCAGGATATGTCCTTCCTATGTCCCTCATAAACCTACAGAATTGCTGCTGTATACCACCTTCCCGGTTTAAAATATTAGTGTGGTACATCCATTCACCAATGTAAGAGGTTGACACTCTTGCACCTAGTTAGCACTCGTTTTAATTCACGCCACGAACGGTAGATGTGTTGGATATGGTAACGATATGGAATTGGTTCCATGTTGGAGTTGTAGTAAGTAATTTATACTAGCAGTATGTTAAATTTACTTTGTCGTAAACATTTAATTTGTTATACTTTAAAAGTTTGATGTACCCACGAATAATAATTTTAAATTGCAAAAAATAAGTAAAATGGGTTATGTTAGGTTAAATGTTTGGATCGATTAAAATCTTTGCTCCTTGTGTGAAAATAGTGTGTTACGTCACCAGTGTCAGGTATATTGTAATATGTAATTACCGCTACCTATATTGTTTTAAATAAATAAATACTTATTAATAACATTTTGATTTTCGAATTGGCAAGAGTACCTACTATTAACCAAATCGTCTTTGAAACTTGTCAAATTTTATGGTCAGTGTTACATCAGTGTTATATTTCGACATTTTTTCCCAGACCCAAAAGCCAAGGTGGTCCGTGAAAAGTGGTCGGAAAATCGAAAAATTAAAAATGTGACTACCGGATGTTTTTCTAATACAGTATACGAATAAAAAACCTCTCAGACGTTTTTCGATATTTTGACATTTTTTCCCAGACCCAAAAGCCAAGGTGGTCCGTGAAAAGTGGTCGGAAAATCGAAAAATTAAAAATGTGACTACCGGATGTTTTTCTATAACGGCATACGAATAAAAAACCTCTTAGACGTTTTTCGATATTTCGACATTTTTTCCCAGACCCAAAAGCCAAGGTGGTCCGTGAAAAGTGGTCGGAAAATCGAAAAATTAAAAATGTGACTACCGGATGTTTTTCTAATACAGTATACGAATAAAAAACCTCTTAAACGTTTTTCGATATTTTGACATTTTTTCCCAGACCCAAAAGCCAAGGTGGTCCGTGAAAAGTGGTCGGAAAATCGAAAAATTAAAAATGTGACTACCGGATGTTTTTCTAATACAGTATACGAATAAAAAACCTCTTAGACGTTTTTCGATATTTTGACATTTTTTCCCAGACCCAAAAGCCAAGGTGGTCCGTGAAAAGTGGTCGGAAAATCGAAAAATTAAAAATGTGACTACCGGATGTTTTTCTATAACGGCATACGAATAAAAAACCTCTTAGACGTTTTTCGATATTTTGACATTTTTTCCCAGACCCAAAAGCCAAGGTGGTCCGTGAAAAGTGGTCGGAAAATCGAAAAATTAAAAATGTGACTACCGGATGTTTTTCTAATACAGTATACGAATAAAAAACCTCTTAGACGTTTTTCGATATTTTGACATTTTTTCCCAGACCCAAAAGCCAAGGTGGTCCGTGAAAAGTGGTCGGAAAATCGAAAAATTAAAAATGTGACTACCGGATGTTTTTCTATAACGGCATACGAATAAAAAACCTCTTAGACGTTTTTCGATATTTCGACATTTTTTCCCAGACCCAAAAGCCAAGGTGGTCCGTGAAAAGTGGTCGGAAAATCGAAAAATTAAAAATGTGACTACCGGATGTTTTTCTAATACAGTATACGAATAAAAAACCTCTTAAACGTTTTTCGATATTTTGACATTTTTTCCCAGACCCAAAAGCCAAGGTGGTCCGTGAAAAGTGGTCGGAAAATCGAAAAATTAAAAATGTGACTACCGGATGTTTTTCTATAACGGCATACGAATAAAAAACCTCTTAGACGTTTTTCGATATTTTGACATTTTTTCCCAGACCCAAAAGCCAAGGTGGTCCGTGAAAAGTGGTCGGAAAATCGAAAAATTAAAAATGTGACTACCGGATGTTTTTCTATAACGGCATACGAATAAAAAACCTCTTAGACGTTTTTCGATATTTCGACATTTTTTCCCAGACCCAAAAGCCAAGGTGGTCCGTGAAAAGTGGTCGGAAAATCGAAAAATTAAAAATGTGACTACCGGATGTTTTTCTAATACAGTATACGAATAAAAAACCTCTTAAACGTTTTTCGATATTTTGACATTTTTTCCCAGACCCAAAAGCCAAGGTGGTCCGTGAAAAGTGGTCGGAAAATCGAAAAATTAAAAATGTGACTACCGGATGTTTTTCTAATACAGTATACGAATAAAAAACCTCTTAGACGTTTTTCGATATTTTGACATTTTTTCCCAGACCCAAAAGCCAAGGTGGTCCGTGAAAAGTGGTCGGAAAATCGAAAAATTAAAAATGTGACTACCGGATGTTTTTCTATAACGGCATACGAATAAAAAACCTCTTAGACGTTTTTCGATATTTTGACATTTTTTCCCAGACCCAAAAGCCAAGGTGGTCCGTGAAAAGTGGTCGGAAAATCGAAAAATTAAAAATGTGACTACCGGATGTTTTTCTAATACAGTATACGAATAAAAAACCTCTTAGACGTTTTTCGATATTTTGACATTTTTTCCCAGACCCAAAAGCCAAGGTGGTCCGTGAAAAGTGGTCGGAAAATCGAAAAATTAAAAATGTGACTACCGGATGTTTTTCTATAACGGCATACGAATAAAAAACCTCTTAGACGTTTTTCGATATTTCGACATTTTTTCCCAGACCCAAAAGCCAAGGTGGTCCGTGAAAAGTGGTCGGAAAATCGAAAAATTAAAAATGTGACTACCGGATGTTTTTCTAATACAGTATACGAATAAAAAACCTCTTAAACGTTTTTCGATATTTTGACATTTTTTCCCAGACCCAAAAGCCAAGGTGGTCCGTGAAAAGTGGTCGGAAAATCGAAAAATTAAAAATGTGACTACCGGATGTTTTTCTATAACGGCATACGAATAAAAAACCTCTTAGACGTTTTTCGATATTTTGACATTTTTTCCCAGACCCAAAAGCCAAGGTGGTCCGTGAAAAGTGGTCGGAAAATCGAAAAATTAAAAATGTGACTACCGGATGTTTTTCTATAACGGCATACGAATAAAAAACCTCTTAGACGTTTTTCGATATTTCGACATTTTTTCCCAGACCCAAAAGCCAAGGTGGTCCGTGAAAAGTGGTCGGAAAATCGAAAAATTAAAAATGTGACTACCGGATGTTTTTCTAATACAGTATACGAATAAAAAACCTCTTAAACGTTTTTCGATATTTTGACATTTTTTCCCAGACCCAAAAGCCAAGGTGGTCCGTGAAAAGTGGTCGGAAAATCGAAAAATTAAAAATGTGACTACCGGATGTTTTTCTAATACAGTATACGAATAAAAAACCTCTTAGACGTTTTTCGATATTTTGACATTTTTTCCCAGACCCAAAAGCCAAGGTGGTCCGTGAAAAGTGGTCGGAAAATCGAAAAATTAAAAATGTGACTACCGGATGTTTTTCTATAACGGCATACGAATAAAAAACCTCTTAGACGTTTTTCGATATTTTGACATTTTTTCCCAGACCCAAAAGCCAAGGTGGTCCGTGAAAAGTGGTCGGAAAATCGAAAAATTAAAAATGTGACTACCGGATGTTTTTCTAATACAGTATACGAATAAAAAACCTCTTAGACGTTTTTCGATATTTTGACATTTTTTCCCAGACCCAAAAGCCAAGGTGGTCCGTGAAAAGTGGTCGGAAAATCGAAAAATTAAAAATGTGACTACCGGATGTTTTTCTATAACGGCATACGAATAAAAAACCTCTTAGACGTTTTTCGATATTTCGACATTTTTTCCCAGACCCAAAAGCCAAGGTGGTCCGTGAAAAGTGGTCGGAAAATCGAAAAATTAAAAATGTGACTACCGGATGTTTTTCTAATACAGTATACGAATAAAAAACCTCTTAAACGTTTTTCGATATTTTGACATTTTTTCCCAGACCCAAAAGCCAAGGTGGTCCGTGAAAAGTGGTCGGAAAATCGAAAAATTAAAAATGTGACTACCGGATGTTTTTCTATAACGGCATACGAATAAAAAACCTCTTAGACGTTTTTCGATATTTTGACATTTTTTCCCAGACCCAAAAGCCAAGGTGGTCCGTGAAAAGTGGTCGGAAAATCGAAAAATTAAAAATGTGACTACCGGATGTTTTTCTATAACGGCATACGAATAAAAAACCTCTTAGACGTTTTTCGATATTTCGACATTTTTTCCCAGACCCAAAAGCCAAGGTGGTCCGTGAAAAGTGGTCGGAAAATCGAAAAATTAAAAATGTGACTACCGGATGTTTTTCTAATACAGTATACGAATAAAAAACCTCTTAAACGTTTTTCGATATTTTGACATTTTTTCCCAGACCCAAAAGCCAAGGTGGTCCGTGAAAAGTGGTCGGAAAATCGAAAAATTAAAAATGTGACTACCGGATGTTTTTCTAATACAGTATACGAATAAAAAACCTCTTAGACGTTTTTCGATATTTTGACATTTTTTCCCAGACCCAAAAGCCAAGGTGGTCCGTGAAAAGTGGTCGGAAAATCGAAAAATTAAAAATCCGAAAGCCTAGGTGGTCGTAATAGTTTACACTTTTGAAATATTATTTTGGACTTAATTACTTTGGAAAATGAACGAGTGAATAAATTGATTATTTTGAACTTAGAATACTTTTGTGATTATTACCATTATTACGTAGTATAAATTTTTATTGTGGTACATAAAATTATTATTATGGCAACACTGCAGAGTATTGCTGTAGTGATAATATTATAGATGTGATATGGACTTAGAAATATTTTCGCGTTTTTTTTCCCAGACCCAAAAGCCAGAGTTCAACCGGTTTGTGTGATCGTATTACTGTTTTTCTGATGACTTTACTCTCTGTTTTCAGTACAGGATAATAAAATGCATGAAAATATTGGAGCACACTACACAACTTGTATCCGCGGCCGGCATGTTCAGCAACAATGAAACCATCGAAGAGATACCAACGGCCGACGTCAAATACATGTTATTGCCATTCATGTTGGGATCTCTGGCCCTAAAACTCACAAACAACGGCAACAGATTGGACGTCGTCAAAACAGCGGAAGTGTATTTCAGAGATTATCTACAAAGGTATGTATTGAAAGTGTGTTTGATCATTTCAATGTTTTAGGGTTGAAACTCGTCAACAGACTATATTCATTTTGGGGTGTTGTAGGTGTAAAGATTATGGATTGGCCGACCATACAATACCACCTGTGTACACAGACTCTGAGGAAACCACTACTCAGGCCACTATGGACTTTTCTCTCATGGCTCGTAGGCGTGCCGAAAAAATTAAGAGTTACAAGGAACAAAAATTAATGGAGTCTCAGTTACAGCTGTTGAAGGAACAGAATGAATGTGAATCTGAAGATGACGAAATGAGAAGAAAGTACATAGTCTCTTTACTGAAATATAATGTTGGCAAGGCTTTGGAAGAATTAGATTCGCTTCAAGCCGAAATGAGAATTTTACACTATAAATTGAAACATGAGGATAAAGACAACCCTGAAAACGTAAAATCTCAAAAGCTCAAACCTAAACCGTTAATGCCTATTATTATCACAAAAAATGAGTTACAAAAACAAGTATTTGGTGCTGGCTATCCGAGCTTGCCAACAATGACAGTTGAAGAATTCTGTCAACAACGTATCAATGACGGAATGTAAGTATAAAATAAAAATATTTGAAGTTTAAAATGTCTTATTATATTATATTTTCTTATGTTAGATGGCATCTACCTACTGCTGATAATACCAAGTGTTTACAACAACCGTCTGAAGCCCCAGAACCAGAATAAGAAGATAAAGAAGACAAAATCAATGAGGAAGAAAAAGAAAACGAAAGACAACGACTAACTGCTCGAGACGAGTACAAAGATGACCATCGCCGAGGATGGGGTAATAGGCATAATAGAAGTTAAAGAGCCTGATAAGAGTCTTTGATATTATAAATGTGTCTATTTTTTATGAACTATATTACAAAATTGATGTTTAATTCTTTACAAATGCTATTAATATATTTTTTTAAATAGCTATATTAAATCTAAATCCATTTTGGTTCTCCAAAAGTTGTATCATTGTTTGTAAATATGTAATTACTTCATTAGGCAATTATATTTAAGACCTAAACATACATTGTATAGCTTGAAAATAGTACATTATTTGTTAAGGTATTGGAAAAAAATTATTCATTTACATAAGTCATAATTTGGGAAATTCAGAGACTGATCTTTAAACTTACCAGACGTAATAGTAGAAAAACATAATTTAACATAACATGTTATATGTTAAATTTGTTAATAAAAATGCATATAATACAAAATAAAGCTGTTTTTTATGATATTTTATATTTATAATGAATTTCTACTTCTGGTTATAGTTGGTATTGAATTTTCATCAAATTTGATGTGATATATATTTGAAACAGCTTCATAGATGCAGACATTGTATAGGTGCATTGCCTAACAATCAACTGCTAATCCAACATCCAACAGATTATTAGCTACAGTGGTGTAATTAGTAATTAATTTTGGGGGATTTAGTTGTCATATCATCCCCATTTTTTTTTAAAAAAACCAGTAATCCATATTTTAGTACTTATTTAACTATACGCATTATTATTTATAGGTATAGTGGATTCTGCATAATGTGGACATATTAGGACCAGACCATTTTGCCCATATTAGGTGGATTCCCATATTAACCGATGCCCACATTACGATGAATCCACTGTACTAGTTAAAGACTTAATAAGTAAAAACTTGACTTCAGTATATGCTAGCTGTACGTAAATAAGATAATATTACTTACTAGTAAATATTTTTTTTTATAATCATTATTGCACAAATATATTGAAATACGGCATAACAATGCAGTTTAGTGATTTTTTTCTGAAAACTTTCACAGAATTAAGAACAATGATGCAATCAAAATTTGTCAGCCGGGCTTAGTTTAAAAGTTATAATCTTTGTTAAAAATTTTGAGTATTTTAATCCTACATAGTACATACGCAGATTGTTCCACAAATAATACATAAAAAAAAAATCAATTTTAAAACTTTATTAAATAGTATGTAGTTATTTATTTAATGTAATCCATTACAGTTACCCAGGGCCAGATTATGGTCATAATTTAAGAAGATTATTACTTTTAGTGAGGTCCTTTTACCCAAATCAATTTCCTTTCTTTATTTAGATTTAGTAATTTGTAATAAATATTAATTAAAAAAGTATAGCATAAACATTTTTTTGGCAAATCCGCATATGCAATACAAAAAATATACATACATTTTTAATCTAATATATATTGTTTAAAAAACTTTTTCCTCAGCAAATTTTCTTATAATATCTTCAAATTAAATATTCATTGTCAATTCACACTGTATTGAAAGAATTGATAGATATTATATCAGTAGAGATAAACAGTCGGAAATCTCAAGCGAGCGTCTGTGGTCTAAGCTAACAAATCAGTACTGCACCTGCGAAAGTATGGGTTTGTTGTTCATTGAATGATACAGCACGTTCGATTACAACGATAACGAGTTTGATAACTACATTGGTGCCTCTTATAAATTCTCCTGATATTGATTTCTTTATTTTAATTAATAAAATATACTTAATTAGTAATTACCAATATATAATATTTGACTTTTATAATCTATCTGGATTAAATTCTAGATTATAAATATAAAGAATTTTAATGTTATCAAGAAGAAGATACAATAGGCTGGCCATGCTTGGAGGAACCAAAATCCGCCTCTATATGCAGTGATAGAACAGAATCTTGTAGGAAAAAGACCGTTCGGAAGACCAAGAAAGCGGTGCAAAGATGTCATAAAAAGGATGTAGAACAGATGGGAAGTCATTCCGATTGGGGACATGAAGTGCTGGACAAAGAAGAATGGAAGCTTGTTTGTGGGATGGGATGGTCTTAAAGATCCAATAAACCCAAAGAGAAGAAAAAAGAAATGTTATACAAATATATTGATTTATTGTAACAACTTATCTAATACCCGTAATATTGGGAATCTGCCTGTTTTTATTCATTTGAATAAGCAACTATTATTGTTATTATTGTTAAGAAATGACATGAGAAAATGAAAAAAGACGCATGAAGAATGTAAATATTTACATATCAGATCAAAAACCACAACTTTCAAGTTCACAATTTATTAGATTATATTATAAGTCAAATAGACATTTTTTTAAAGACTTGATGACCCCTGAAGTTTTTCTTCCAGTTCATTTCTAATCTCTAATACTGAAATCATTAAATTTTGAAGTCTTGATCTCTCATCTTTAATAGCTTCTAATAACTTTAAATCTTTTTCTACATTTTCTCGTTCATTCTCAATTTGGTTTAACGCATTTTTTGTCATACTACTTTTATGGTTTGTTTGTTGTCTGTTGTTCCAATTGACTTGTTCAAAATCAAACACATATCTGTTATCCGTTATTTCATAATTTATATTGTTTTGTACTTCATCTTCAATTTCTTGCATTTTAATTATACGTGCAATTTATTTAATTCAACCGATTAACTTTTGAAAATACCTGGAACAAAAATAAAATAGCCCATACCACATGAATTAATATAAATGACGAAAAACAAATTAAATATTTGATACTATTTATGAACTAAATACTTGTTCAATTATCAAAATTACCAAAATATTTTAAGAATATCATATTTTGGTTTATGATCAGTGGCGTAGCCAGGATTATGAAATGGGGGGTGTTTAAGTATAGATTAAAACCGAGTTTTTACAGTTTTTGTTTATAAATAAATTTAGGGGTCGGGACTTGACTTGTTGCACATGCACTAAATATCATCGAAATATGCAGTCAAAGTTGTCAAAATATTCTTAAATATATACAGCTACATTTTCATATTATTTTTGAAAAATTCATAAAACATACTACAATTTTGGTAATAAAAATCTAAAAAATAAGTAGGTATATAAACATAAATAATTCATACACGGGTTTACTAATTTTAATATAGGTAGGTACCTATATTGATTAATGTGATGAACGGAGTACACTACTGCATGTTTTGGACATTTTTAAACTATTGTGAAATAAAACAACTTGATTTTTAAAAATACTGGCATAGAATACTAGGTTAATAAATAAGTAATAACGAATAACGTGATATGCGAACACCGTGATAAACAAAAACGTATCTACTGATTTTAATTTCTTCGTACAATCTAGAATGAGATGTCAATTATAGTTTTAACACAGTATTGCACAAAGAGACTTATAAAATCTTACATACCATAATTATGCGAAAATAGGGCAAACCGTATAGCCAAGCTCTACCAACCACTTTAACAGCCCTCCCAATCATTTACTAAATTTTTTTAATTCAATTTTATAATAGTATGGTTTTAGGCTTCGGCCTCCCCAAATCTCAAAATTAGCGCCTATTGTACCTAACTAAACATAATATTTTTAAAGATATTTTTCAATGTTATCCAAATATGATTTGGATTGATTTATATATTAACTTTTCCTTAAATATGCAAATTCAAACTTGGTTTGATCAGACATATAAAAAAATTTCATAATAAAAATGTATAACTTATCTAAAATAATGCGAGCAGTCCCGAATGCTTTAAACAATATTTTTGTTAGGGAGAAAAATGTCAATGGGGGGTGTTTACACACTCAAAACCCCCCTGGCTACGCCATTGTTTATGATTAATTATATTGTTAATTCATTTAAATTAGTACAGGGACATGATGAAATGAAAGCCAAAGTAATAAGAGATAACTGTTTAATATAATACATGTTTCAGCAATAGAAGCAAAGACTAAATATTAATTACTAATAAGGAAGTTGATGGTACACGTTTGAGTACAAAAGGAAAAGGTAGCATAAGGGAATCAGACATTCAGATAGTTACACAAGTAATAGGTACCATTGAGAATAATACACAAGATAATCAGGACAGTAACAATTCTTAAAACAGGGGTGTTCAGATATAGCTCAAACCTCAAAAGGAGTTACAAGCCTACAGCAGAAGAGCAACAAAAAATGTTAGGTTAGGGAAAAGTTGTCGGAATGACATCAACAGATATCATGACATACATTTTGGGAATTAAAAATCATAATATTACATAATATTGTCTACTCAATATCAATGTAAATTAAAAAAAGTCAACATAAGTTTGTATACATTATGGATAAATATATATCTATATTGAAGATAATTTAAATCTAAATTTTTTGATGTTTCATACAAAAATCTAAATTCTTGGATCAATAAATTGAATTCTAATTAATATACACATTATAATATTAATATTATGAACATAAATAACAAATTAGGTACAGTGGTCGAAATGGCTCAAGATAAGTGGAGGGATGCCTTACAATTCAGATTTCCTGATATCATCATAACATTCTTCATACCTTGTATAGTATTTTTTTTTTATAGTTCACATTTTGTTTATGCATCAGAATACTACAATCTTTTTCGATCATAAATAATCTTTAAAATAATCTTTGCTAGTTCCTACGTCCCTACTTATTATCATCAATATTGTTATTGTTTTGTGATATTAAAATATTATGTTATTAGCTCTAAACACGACTAAGGTATAATATGTAAATTCTTAATCCGTGGCTCTAAATACGGGTATAGATAATATGATTTCGAAACGGCCTATACGAAAAATAAAAAGTTTTCTTATACATAGGTATAAATATAAAAATCATAATAATTATTTCATTTTAAAACACAAGTCTTAGGAGGAATGCGTTATTCTAGACAAAATAAGTAGAGGGATGAAAAATGTAAATACAAAAAAGTAGAGGGATGTCATCCCTCCGTATCCCCCCCCACTTCGACCACTGATTAGGTACAATAATGGAATATGTAATTTGGATTAAAAACAATTGAGATCTTGGTGATCTTACCTTTAAAAATATTTTTTAATTTGTTCGTTAAAAGTTATTGGTAGTGAAATTTATAAAATATAATAAACCATTAATGATCAGACTCTACAAGTTACGACACTCAACACAAGTCACAGATAAATAAAAATCATAAGTTCAATAATAAAATATAAATAAATGGGAATTGTTTTATTAAGTACTTAGCTTATAATTTAAATTTGTAATATTAATAAATAATAGGTATCTACTATCTTTAACCGTGATACACGCCACACGGATGTAGCTAAGATGGAAACGTTGCGCACTTATGTCTCAGAATCTATAGGTATTGAACCTATAGATTCTGAAACACAAGTGCGGCACTGCGCTACGTTTCCATAGGGCATAGAAGAATTGCCACTAAGAATTACAACTAGCGCTTTTTGTGTCCGTATTGGGGAAGCAGATTAACAAAACGCGCTCTGTTGGAAACAATTTGTACCTTCCGATTCGGGATGTATAGATATAGCTTTATATTGGTTATTTTACTTTTTATAATAAATTAATTTTGTTATCGAAACTTTATACGCTTTTATAGCTAACTGTATACTTTGTTAAGTACAATTCCTACTTATATTATCAAATACATTCAAATACACTTTATTTAAAGCAAAATGTATGCGAACGCGAAGTGTCGGGAAAATACATACAATCTCCCGAGTCCCGACTCCAAGTAGGGGGAACCCGCCAAACCTACAGACTACAGTACGATAGGCGTTGACAGCGCTCCTAGTGTTAATATGTATGCTCAATATAATATTGCCTACATTTAGCCCCTTTTTTGCAGTTATCATAATGTGATAACATTGATAAACCGTTAACATAATTTTCACATTATAAATTAATAAATTATAATATAATATTTTATTATATTATTAATTATAATTAAAATAGTTAAATACATTAATAGTTAATAAGTTATTAAAAAACACAATGTCATGGCTCTATCCATTATATACGATCAAGACCTGTACGCACAATAATTTGATAATCACAGGTTTATTTCAGGTAAATATCCGGTAAATTGTGTAAATTTATTTTTTATGCTAAAACAAATCCATGGATATCACAATACTTTTTTATGATTGTTTCCTGACTTTTCCAATAAAATAATAAAAAAGATTATGTGCAAATAATTTAATTAGTTAGGTATTCATAAAAAAAATGACCTTCCGGCGTATATACATGAAATATTCACTGGTATTAGCAGTCTCTATACCTACACTTTAAAATTTTCAAAATATTTTGAATTGTTTTGAACTGTTTAGGGACATTTTCAGCTTCCAATTTTACGACCATAATCAGGGTATGGCCAAGATTCTACGTCATTCTACGTATCTAAATTATTTTCGAGATTTGCTGCTAAACAATCAGCAATATTGAAATTATTAGATTCAGTCTCCATGTTTAGTTTTTGTCTTTCACGGTAATTTTTTGCACGTTCAGCATTTGTTAACGGTTCCGGGGAGGGTTAATATCGCATCGGGTTTATTTTGAAGTTGTTTCTCTATTTTTTTAGCACGATAATTTCGTAAACGTTCAGCCTCTGTTACACGTGCAGGAGATGATGCTACTATTTCATCAAGTTTATTTCCAAGTTCCTTTTGTTTTTGTCTTTCACGGTAATTTTTTGCACGCTCAGCATTTGTTAACGGTACCGGGGAGAGTGTTAATATCGCATCGGAATGATTATTTTGAAGTTTCTGCTCTTTTTTTTTAGCACGATAATTTCGTAAACGTTCAGCCTCCGTTACACGTGCAGGAGATGATGCTACTATTTCATCAAGTTTATTTCCAAGTTCCTTTTGTTTTTGTCTTTCACGGTAATTTTTTGCACGCTCAGCATTTGTTAACGGTACCGGGGAGAGTGTTAATATCGCATCGGAATGATTATTTTGAAGTTTCTGCTCTTTTTTTTTAGCACGATAATTTCGTAAACGTTCAGCTTCTGTTACACGTGCAGGAGATGATGCTACTATTTCATCAAGATTATTTCCAAGTTCTTTTTGTTTTTGTCTTTCACGGTAATTTTTTGCACGCTCAGCATTTGTTAACGGTACCGGAGAGAGTGTTAATATCGCATCGGAATGATTATTTTGAAGTTTCTGCTCTTTTTTTTTAGCACGATAATTTCGTAAACGTTCACCCTCCGTTACACGTGCAGGTGTTACCGATACTCTATCATCTTGACTCGTTGATGGTGCGGGAGAACACGGCTGATAAACTTCAGCTTGAACCACGATTAGTTTGCGTTGATTTTCAGCTACTACATGTTTAGTTAATTTTCTTTTTTTTTTATTTTCATCTGAAGAATTTGGTTCGCCTGAATCCTCAATATTCTCAATGTTTGGAATTCGTTCTGCCATTTCTGTTCGATTATCTGATATTTTTCATCCGATTATGTGCTATTTATAATAATAATAAAATAATGATAGTAATAATGATAAAAATAATGAATGTTCATTTACATTTATGTAAATACAGCAGACGAATTCATGGGAGAAACTACGAAAAAAATATTAATTAATTTAAAAAATGAGAAGAAGTATCCGGAATTATTTATTATTGATAGTTTTATTATTTTTTTTATATTTTTATTCGACAGATCGATGGATAATTGTTTGTAGTAGGTATTGTTTTTATCCAGACAATAGATTTGTGAGTGAATAATAATAATAATAATAATAAAAATAAATAATAATCGATCATTAATTATTCATATTATAATTAGTATGGGCCAAGATAGATGAATGAATCTGTTTTTTATTTTGCAACGTTTATATAATATTAACGACCACCACTTACCTCGCAACGCTTGTTTCTCTTTTGGATTAATTAATAATAACCGAACTACGAATCTCTTATCTATGATACGAATTAACAAACACTGTGCATGTGAGTGTGCTACGATATGACGTAACCGAACGACCGTCGACCGAACGGATTGGCGAACAACGACGACGGCGAATTCGCACACCTAGTTCGAACTCGAGATTATTATTTCGGTAATATTATATTATAAATTATATAATCATTAGGTAAAATAAAAAAAAGCTACTATTTTTACTAAATCTAGTAAAACTTAGTTAAACTTCTTTACGCAGGGTAGTGAGGAAAAAAAAAGCGAACGGGCGGCGCCAGTGTTGCCAGACTCTCAAACTAATATTATCGTAAAGTATTTAAATAATTATCGTTTTTCAAAAAAATTTTCGTACACCAAAAATTTGTTTGCTTGAGATTTGAGTGCCCAGATTATAATACCCTGTACTTATATAGTATATAATATTATAATTTATATTGCATATACCAATTAGTGTGCATTCGACATTTTAGACTCGCATTACCACTCACCAATGTTTCGACCAGTACCTACGAATTCTATATAATATTATTACTATGATCACGTATATCGCATTTGTATATTATGCTATCTTGTATATATTAACTATTAAGAAAAAACATTTTAAATTTGGTAATTTATACAATAGGTCTAATTAAAAAAAAAAAAAAATGGTAATAGATATAATTACTTTAACTATTTTTCTGAGGGATATCTATTATTATTAATTATTAATAAGAAACAAAAAAAAAAACACAATATTCACTTGGATTTTACACTGTTTTAAACATAACAATCCTGATAATACTATAGACACCTACTATAATAAAGGGAATTATATGTTTGTAACTAAGTAAATATTAATATATCATAATTATAATTATAATGCATTGTTGTATTATCTATTAGCCATATGTAAAAGGTAAAAGTGTAAAAACGTGAAAGAATTGCTGGGAATTGGGTTGTATAAAAATGTATTAATTTAAGTGACCAATATTTTGGTCCACTAAAACTAGTAATCACTACTGATTCATCAAATGTTTAGTTGGCACCTACCTAATTATTTGAACATACAAAGTAGGTAACTATAATTAATGCATTTATTTGAATGAATATTTAGAATAATACTAGGTATCTAATATCTATAATAAAAGCTGGAGGTAAATGTAAATCAATGAATAAAGTTGTTTTCAAGGTCAAATTTGTATAAGCTCAACCGAAATTCTTGAGGTTGTAAGTTTTAAATTGAATATCCCGTATGAACCTGTTATTTTGAAACTTGGTTTGGTTTCCTTGGAGGAGCTTAAACCTACGTATACAGGTAACAAATTATTGGACTTACTGTTACAAGGTAATATTGACTTGCCTAATAATTAATTTCCTATGTTGTAAAGTACCTCAAAATGTTCTTCCAGCACTTTTTATTTTTAGAAACATCTAACTCCTGTAATGCACAAAAATGTAAAGCACATGACTCCTAAAATTGAGAAAACCAGAAAAGCATTATGAATTTTTTAAATTATATTTTGTTTATTATTCTGGAAAATAATATTATTTTACTACAAGTCAGTATTTTTAGAAATTAGTAATAATTACTTATCTATTTTTTCAGTAGATAACTTTTTTTTATTCTTATTTGGTTCATTGGTTCAACATTTCATATATACCGTTTATCTTTATAGATTAATTTGGTATGGATAAACATTTGGTAACTCATATTCAAATCACACAATAAAAAAAAAACATTAAATTAACCTATCCAAATATTGACCATCTGCAATATTATCCTTTTTAAAATAAGGTTAAAATCAGAAAAGCAAACATTTATTTTAAGATACATTTGAACCAATGTTACACAATGCTTTATCAAAATGTTTAGAAGATTGAATAAAACTTTTACTAAGTTTGAATATATTATAGATCCAATTGCACAACAAAAGGTAATAAATATCATGTTTATTATTATAATTATATATATATAATATATATGTATATACAAGTATTACCATTTAAAACACCTATTTTCATACAGAATAGTGTTAAAATTATGCATATTCTTGAATCCCTTAAACCACATTGTAAATGAAGAATTATCAGATAGATAGATACACGGGTATTAATTAATCGCAAATTAAATTGTATGTTTTTGATGCATATATTATAATCTTAAAAACAATATTTTGTTTAAATCAAATTACTTAAAACAAAATTTACACTACAATGTTAAAATATATATTATTATAATTTATAATACAAATACCTCGTATAATTATGATTTGCATAAAAGTCATAGATCCATAATTTTATTGAAAAAAAAAAACTAACAGAATATAAGCGTAATATATAATAAATGGGTATGATAAAAGTTATCCCATTTTATTTTTCCTATAAATATTAAATATACTTATACCAGCAGTTTAAAAGGCATAAAAAGTATACTTAAAATAAGAGTATACTTATACACTTTTTTAATACCGGACAACTAAATATTAACCAAATTTTAATTTCTAACTAAGATTAAATTTATATTTATATAATATATTGTATAAAATAGTAATAATAATAATTATTATTATTGTTATTATATTATTATCATTATTATTATTATTATTATTATTAGGTAAATGTATATATATAAATATTTTTAAATTTAATTGATTTAATACTCAAATTGTATAATCGGAGGGTTAGCATAACTGTGGTACCAATCAAATGCACATTTTAGAATAATATGCATTATTTGATTAATATAATACTATGATATTCAAAAAATAATAATATATATATTACAGTTTAAGGTATTAAATATTAAGTGTATAAATTTGGTTTATTTACCTAAGTAATAAATATTAAAAAATAATTTTGAGGGAAATTAATTTTGTCCCCTTAAAATTTGATCAAGTTAACCTAAAAACATTTTGAATTGAAATCTTATCTGCTAACATTAAGATATATAATATTCTTAAGTATCAGGTACAATTAGTGTTTGTTACAACTTAACTCCAAAAGAAAAAAGTGTTTGTATTTTAATAAGATAAAATAATATACTTCAGGTATAATACCAATATGTATAATATAAAAATAAAATATAATTTTAATCATTAATCACAATAGAAGTATTTTGCAAAATTGTTAGAGGTAATTAAACAACAGCCAACAACAAAACTCATTGAAGTGTATAAATTAAGACTATTGAGATATTAAGCAATGACTGGTACCACATTTCCGGTTTAATTCAGGACCACTTTAACAAAAGTCTACGTCAACAAGAAATGGGAACTAACCAACCGGAAAACTAAATACAATTAAAGTTAATCACAATTAAAATTATTTAAGCTCGAGAATCGAAAAAATAAAATCAGATAAGTAGAGATTAAGTTGGCAGGAAGATTGGAATACAAACAATTACTAATTATGACTATAATACACACTTAACAATAATATGATAAATTTATTATACAATAATTATATATTTTAAAAGAGGAATGCATTTTTCATTACTGCTGTTGCTATTCAAAAACATTTCCTTCGATACACCGGTTAGACTAGAATTTTCGCATAACTAAGATACTGGAAGCATTCAAGTGATGTCTAATTTTGATTAGAAATAAAAAGAAAGAAAAATAGGTAACAAAACAAATACTAGCAACAACAAAATTGAACTTTGGAAAATGTCTAAAATATAGATGGGAATTCAAAACGTAAAAAAAAAAATAATAATAATAAGACAATGAATACTTAAAATTAATTGTCAGAAGTCGAAAAAATAATAATTATTTTGGTCTAAAGTTACATTTAAAGGCAATGATTGGCAAGGTAGGTCGTATTATAATTTTATGCCTAATATTAATTTTATGTGTTGCGCAGTAATCTTTTTTTTTCAATTTTGGTATTTTAAGCAAAGTACATAACTTTTTTTGTATCAGCATGTACTGTGATAGCTCGCGCCATTGCGCCTGGTGTTCTATCTTCACTACAGCCAGATTGATGTGATCCTTCACCACTAAAAAAACAATAAGTCTTTTTTACAAACAATTCATAAAACATTTTATAGTATCAGATTAATATACAATGCACAAAAAAAGTATTTTAATTCCTCTCCGCATTCAGACCACAATTTTCGAGTGTTTAATTTTTACCCATCATTTTGAAAAGTACTGGGAATTTTTTTTACTGACTTCCCTACTAAGTCAGACGGTTCACATAGTTACTGCTAGAATCACTTTTTGTACACACTGATTTATCACTGAATTCAAATTTGGTAGATTAATTATATTGGTAAATGGAGCTCTTTTTTTATGAGAAAACTACTAGATCTTTAGAATACACAGCTACAAGTTACACATCAATGTATACGATGAGCAAAAGCTAGTCATATTCTATTCAGAAAAGGCAACATATATGGGGATAACAAATAAATCATTTTATTCGAGATCCAGAGTTAGTTTTAAATATTTTTGGACTTTTATTAATTCCTTGAAAGCTACACCAATAGTATATTTTGTTTTAGAATAATTATTTAGTGAAAATTAAAAGTATTTATGGACATTAAATAATGAATTATAACAACAAAACAACACACACACACATCATTCTTAAAACAATAATTTCGGAAGTACTCTAAAAAAAAAAAAATGAATCCTGTGGATCTCTACAAACATATTAATATAAAATAAGTAAATTCAATAATGTTACCTGTCATGTTCTTTTTCAACTAAGTGATATCTAGCCCTAAATGCAACTAAATGAGCATAATAGGCCGGCGCAGGTATAGATACAGAACGTGTACATCTGACATAAGTGTGACACAATTGGTATGTTAAGCATTGCAATTCATCAGACTCAAAATGGTTGTCATCCCATAGAACATGATAATGACTTGGCCGACTTGTTCCCTATTAATATTTTTTTAAAATTATAAAACATGAAATATATATTATAAAAGTAAAATTATTACCTGAATCCCTTGATGACTACATAAGTAAAAATCAAATTCTGTAGGATGTGTTATTCCAACATCAACGGTTGTACCAGCTGGAATATTTCCAGATTTTCCCGATTGTTCCTTTTTATCAGCGCAGAACAATCTAAAACAAAATGAAATAATTTATTAAAAATATAAGCCTTGAAATACTAAAAAAAAGCAAACCTGGTGTGATGACGTTTTTGAACAATGATAAAAGTGATTCCTGGTTTGTAATCACCTTCCAACTTTATACATGCCTCTCGAATAGCTGTAAGTTCATGTTGTAAGACCTATGTCAATAAAAAATAGTTAATATAAGAAAACACACAAAAAAATAAATATTAGACTATGCAATAATTAAAAACAAATAATAATACAAAAAAAATTATATTTAAAAAATGTGATTAGTGATCATTATCTGGTAAGAGATGATGTCAGTACACTGTTTGGTTTTAGGCCAGGTAAGTTGGGTCTCGGCTAGAAACGAGATTCAAAAATAAGATACCACATTGTCGTAACTTTGATTAAGCCTATTTAAAACATTTAAATATCAAATTTAAAAAGCATTTTCTCTTGGTGTAGTGTTTATAGATTTTTATATTGCTAAACATATGGATGGGTGCAAAGCTTGTTAGGCCTAAAACTGATATAAAAGGATGCAGTTCCCATTTAGTCTTTTAGGACAAAATTGGAGGGAAAAGATTCAAGCTCTTAGTTTAGACAACTCATACAAAGGTTTACACTTAAAATTTGAAAAACTTTTCCTTAAATCAACCGATTTGAGTTTGTCAAATCTGTATTATTTCAGTTTATACTGAGAACATAATTATTATTAAAAATACACATACAGTAATTTCATTATAATAATAAATTTTATTTTATAATTTATACCATAATTATAAAATTTGACTATATCTAAAATATGGAATAAATGGACTAATCTTTATTTTCTGGGACTTAACTTCCCTACTTTATTTTTGGGACTCAATTTACCACAACCGTTTATTTGTCCCTTGGATCAGGCGAAAAATAGACAAAATGGACTTTTTTTTTGAATTTTAAATTTTATACATAGTTAAATAATAATAAAATATATAAAACTGATATGTTAAACTATCAAAAATATTATTCTATATAATTGTTGTAATGAGTGATTTTACTCATAAGATTACCAAAAAAACATAAAAAAAAAAATTATTTTACACATTTATCGTGTTGTGCATGGGTTTGGATAACAAATATTACGCTGATATCCTCTTAATGTTTTTTTACCTTTACGGTTTATTAACACGTTTGCTGCGTAAAACGCCAATTGGCGTCATTGTACATAGTTTGCATGTGCTGAATGACGCCAATTGGCGTCATGCATCTTGTTATTTAATGGACTATAATTTGGTCAGCGTTACGATTAAACTTTTGATTTTTGGTCAGCGTCTTCTATAAGCATTGTTTCATAATCAAGTGCAAACTGTACACTGATATTTAAATTTTTCAATTTTTAGGAAATTTTTTTTAAAACTAGAATTTTATCAGCGTCACGACAAGTATACAAAAATATGATACGCAGTGAACGTGTTAATTAAGTTTCTTATACTTTAATATAGGTACCTACAATTTACAGTGAAACCTCCATATTAAGGGGACGCTACACAGCCATTTGTTGTCTGTCTTATAAGTGTGTAACAAAGAAAATGTAAGCTCAGTAAATGACAATAAGCACCGTTAGTTTAAAAATTAGAGTGAATCGACCCATCATAAAACTTGAAGGTAAGAATATTATCTGTTTGTATAATTGTTCAATTTTTTAACAATTTATGAGTATATAAATATGTAAATTTAAAATGCTACTGAGTTATTGTAAAAAACCCACATACAAACACAGATGATGATCTTACCATCAAGTTTAATAAAATTATAGGTCTATACACTCAAATTTTTAAACTTACGGAATTAAACCCCTCTGCTGAGCATACATTTGCTATGTTACGCACTTGTAAGACGGAGACAACACTATCTGTGTAGCATTCTTTTAATATGTCACATGGAGCATAAAAAAAAATCATACTATAGAGAATTTGGTTTAATGGAATTGAATAAATTTGATTTTCAAAAATATTTCGGTAAAAATAAAATGTTGTTAAATAGATGTTTCATGGTATTACAATTATTTTGGTGAACAAAAGTATGTTATTTTGCATTGAAATTTCAAACATTTTTTGAATACTTGAGTATAAATAAAGATACTAGTAGTTTTAAAACATGAAACTAAAATATAATACTAAACAAAAAGCTTAACACCATGTTAAAAAATAAATGCAACTCTATGCTTGGTTAAGTTCAGAAACATAGTCGGCGGCTGACTGGTGGGCAATACTACATGGCAGGTATATAGATAATTAAATGAGTGAGGGACTAACGAGTATTGCCTGACTGCGGCCCGATAAAAACTGGTCGCAGCTGACTACGTTTCTTACCTTAAACAGAGTATAGTATTTTTTTTTATATATATATATATATAAAATAAACATACGTGAGGAAACTGTCCTTCGGATACTCCATCACGATATAATATAATTCTATGAGGTTTATAACCTCCAGTGCTCTTGTAGAACATGATTAGAAGTTCCCTAAAAATAAATATGATAAATAATATGATTATATTAAAAAAAGTTTAATATGCTACATACCTAACCATAGAACTAAGTTCTTGAATGATTTCTTGTCTGTGTTGTTGCACACGTACAGTTGCAGCATAACGACTGGGATGTGCATCCATAGATCCTACTACTGCGGCAATGGATGGTTTTTTATTGTCACCTGCAGGTGGGTGAGTTACATCTGCACCCAAAAATATCACTGGTTCATTGAATACCTAGAGAATATTAATTAATTATTAATAATAAGCCAGTGGTTTTTATTTAAGTTTATGTACTTTAGGTCTGATGCTAGGTACAAGAATGCTATTGATACCACCCAATTTCACATTGATCTTTAAACATAAATTGGACAATGTTTGAGGTGACGTTTTATTAACATTTTTTGCTTGAACACATTGTGTGGCCATTCCTAGAACAGTGTCTCCAACCCTTTTGACTTCAGCTAATAATAACAATTAATAAAACACGTTTTATTTTTACATTTGATTATTTGAATCAATTAGAAACTTTAAAAATGTTTAAGAAAATAAAAATGACAATACCATATACTGGAGTTTTCCCTGGTAAAACAACAACTACAAGCTGTAATCCAGTAAATGTTGATTTTAAATAGCGGAACATGGGTTCTACTTGGTCAGGCCCCGTAGCATATTTACCTGTTAAAAAAAGAAGCTTAGTCCAATAAAATAAAATTTGTTGTTTATTTTCAATTTTGTACTCACAAAAACATGGTTGACCGACTATTGGCATGCCAGCATCACTGCTTATCTTTTGGAGTTGTGTTGTGAAATTTCTATAAAATAAATAGTATACAGTACATACTAATAATCAAAATTACAATGCTACTTTGAAACTTCTAGACAAAATACCCATTAAAGAATAATTAAATTCTCCCATTCTAATAATATTATTAAATTACTTTTAGTTACCTTAATGCATCCTCACGCACAGTTCTCTGTGGTGCAAAACAAGCTATTGCCCAATTACGAATTTCGACACCTGTAAAGAACTGTTTGCCTCTCATATCCCAAACCCCTTGATTTGGTAATGCTTGTTGTTTAGTTTGTTGGACATTTAATCCTCCCTATAATTAACATAATTTATAAAATTAAACAAGTACCTACCATTTAACAAATTATTTTTTAGGGGTGGATTCTTCTCAAAATTGTTATCCTAATAATATATATTATATATAGGTACAGTGGACAAAAATCTGGACATATTGTTATACCTGATTTGGTAGAGTTCGTCCACCGTATTGTAATTTTGGTGGTGGTAAAACACGACCACGCACTTCCATCATACTGTTTGATATGGTAAGACCAAATTCTTGTACATATGAATCATTATTAAAATCAGCTCGACGAACTAAGGAATTAATCTCTCGTTCACGATCAGGAGCACTTCTTGCAGTTGCCTTTATCATGGTTGATGTTTGCATGTCGGTTAATTTTTTAATGCACCGCTGACCCGCAACTATGTTACAGACCTAATAAAAAAGTTTACAATGGTTACTACTTGGTGCTGACAAAACACAGATCTACATTAGGTCACACTTTGCAATCATCATAAACTGTGATTGTATATGTACCTGTTATAATACATAAGTTATTTGAGATATAACAATTGCTTTATCAGACATATTATAACAATTGAAATAAGACTTAAATTAAATTAATTAGTTGTATCAATGTATGTAGAATTCAATAATGAATTTAATTCATTTTATAGTTATTGATAGATAAATTATACTACTCAGAGCAATTAACCCAATAGTAGGTACATGTTAAACATTATAATACTATATAAAATTTTAAAAAAAATGGTAAAGCAGATTCTGATTTTAATTGGTAGCTGAATTATAAGTTAATGGTAATTAAATAGTGTTACGTTATATTAAAAATATACTTATCATCTAAATAAACAAACCTCTAAAGGAAGATATGTATGTTTATGTTCCTGTCCAACTTGAAGACATGGTAAATGTGGATAACGTAATTTCATCTTGTATTTGTCTAAGAAATATTTAGCACTGTGCATTCCTACTGTCTGACTGACCATTTTCAATTGCAATGGAAACTAAAAATTGTTCAAAGAATGTATGACAATATAATAAACTTTGAAATAAGTGCTACGACGATTGCATTTGAGCTGGTCTTCTAAGTAACATTACAAACTTCGATACTTCCTTCGCATTGCTCCACAATGTGTAATCTCCTATGTTAAGGCCTTAATTTCTTTTGTAATTTAACTCCTTGTGAATCTGGTTAATGGTTTTCGTTGTTCACCAATATCTCTATATCCAACACTTCACACATGAATTCTATACGGGTTGTGCTTTGTAAAAAGCGTGTTGCTGACACTAAAGAAAAAAATATGTAATGAAGATAAGCTAATTTTATTTTATAAATTACCATCAATATTAAGCATCATTTTCCATTGAGATGGCCGGACTGACTGGTGGAAAACAACCAAACTTCTCTACCACCACCTAATGGATGATAGTACCCTTCAGGTGAAGAAAAAAATGAGCGACCTACTGGTGTGTAAGTCATTGATGGAAGATGTCGCATGACTACATCTAAAGCCTACACAAAAAAAAATTGGATATTAACATAAATAATAAACAATAAAATATCATTAATTATTAATTAAAAATAGGTAGAATAAGATGAACTAACCAAAATAGCATCATATGGTATCTGCCGTGTGCGGCCTTCTAATGCTTCTTCCAAAGCAAATAATGATACTTGAGCTAACCATTTAATATTAACACGGAATACTCTATCTTTACCTTCCCCGGGCAATGTAACCTGAAATAAAAATTAATAAAAATTAAGTAATGTTATAATAACATAATTTAAAAAAAAAACACATACTTCTAATTCCATTCGATCGTTTCCAATAGGCAATGGATCTCTTGTATATAAGTTGTTGCGACCATCAAATACAGGTCGAAGATTACCAAAAAGTTTACTGTACGCATGAACCATAGTTTCAATAATTTCACGATTGACTTTTCGAGGACATTTATCTGGTTGAATATTGATGTCATAATGATGTACATAACCACGAGGCATTGATATTTGAAAATGATTAGCACGAAGCACAATTGGTCGGCCTTCTCGTCCCAAATTTGGTCGGCGTGGACAATTGATACTATAATTAACAACAAAGAATTTATAATGACCAACAGTTCATAAATAAACAAAAACTAACAAATAAAAATTATTAGAATGAAATTTTACCTGGTACATCAACTAGTTGTGGTTGCAATGCAGGAGCCTGAGGTTGAAGAACGCCCATTGCTCCAGGTACACCAACTTGCACTGGGGCCACAACAGGTGGCGCAGGGGCTAAAACATTTGTTCGAAAAATTATGATTTAAGAGATAGTTAAAATATAAATTTGTAATATTTATTTATGTACTTTAGGTATATTATATACCTACATATATTTATAAAAGCCACTACTATACAACTACGATAACTTACGTTATGTAATTACAATAAAATAAAAAAAAATATAGAATTAGTAGTACATCAATAGGTACTTTGACTATACTTTATATTATAATTTATAATAATAAATAATTTTAAGTTATATTAATATAAATTAAAATTAAAATATCAAGATACTAATTCCAATTTCAAATACTTATTCTCCTCTTAGCTTATCCTTATACTAATATCATAGAAATTAAACCGTTCTCACAGGATAGGTATCTCCCCATTAAAAAAAATTCTTAATAGGTAGGTTCAAGTTATTTTCATAAACAATCTAATTTTACCAATAAAATTTGTATTTAATCGAGTTACAAAATCAATTCAAATATTGTAAATATCAGTTTTTTCTTTAATACATTATTGAAAAATATGAATAATTTCAATTTTCTGTCAATACCATAAACATGGAAATACAATATATTTTAATATGCCCAAAGGTCGTTGTATTCACAGTACCAAGGTCCGTTTCATAGAAAAAATTCATTATTTTCAAAGGACCTATTCAGGTCATCGGTCACTTGGGCAGTGAAACTAATCACATACTCACTAAAATCTTTACGCTCGGATATAAATACTTGTCGACAAAATGTTTTAAATAAAATAGGTAAGATCAGGTGGGTTAAGAGCCTAACGGGGCTACAGCCTAATCAGGTTATAAAAAATACAATCTTTTGATTATTATAAAGTTGATTTCAAGAAGATTACGAAGTTTAATAGTAATTAAATGTTGGTTGCACTTTAGGATATCAAACACAGCAGTAATAGTAATAGTAATCACTATCCGAAAAGCTAATCAGTTATTTACTAGTAATTTTTTAAATCTATGATAATTCAACGGTCGAACTAACCCACCTAAGTTGCTCAAAATAATTTCAAATTAGGTAAATAAATGTTCTTTTATATTTATATTACTATTTTATTTATGAATTATACTAATTGTATGATATAAAATAATGAGCATTAGCCGATTATGCACTTCCAACGTGCAAAATTCCACAGTGGGAATGTGTGACATGCCTTATTTTGTTAAATAGTTTTAAAGATTTTATAAACATTGTTTGTGACTAAAATATTTATGAGTTACGAATATTCATTTTTAAATATGTAAATAGTTAACAATTACACTTTTAATATGTGTTAACATTATAACAATCAATACTTAAAAAAACTAATATGTATAGAAAATAAATTAAAAAAACTTTGATGGTCTGTCTGCAAATCTTGATAAATTAAAATAATTGAATTCTTTTAACGGAATTTGTATGATGATTTTCATTAGTTTATGGCACTTGCCCCAGTCAAGGAATAGCTTGTATAAAACTGTATTAAAAGTACCGGTTTTGCACTTAACCCGGTAGCAGAGATAGTGATACTTTTTTTTTTTTATACAAATTTGAATTCCTGATTTGTTCATTAATGGATGATGTGTTCCTAGAGGGAATACAGTAAGATGGTATGTTCCGTTGAACTGAGATTTTGCAAAACCACATCGCTGTTAACCCGCCTGACCTCAGTGCATAAAATATTTTAGTAATACAAAAAAAAATAGCATACCTAGGTAAATATTATTTAGTGAAAATTCTCAACTTTTAATTTTTAAATGAAAATAACTATAGGTACTTTATTTTAAAAGAGTATAATCAGTTTGGCCAACTAATTTTCATGGCTGTGCGCATCTCCTTCAACAATTGTATTAATGGGAAATCTGTCACCGATTTTGAAAGCCATAAAAGTTTGTACATGGTTTTTACAAAACTTCTTTTAGCAAAAAGGGGCGAGAATTTTGCCTCAACACTCCCAAAGCCGTCATTCATATGCACAAATGTGATTATTCTGTTTTGGGATACAGTATAGGTGGTAAGTACCTACTTAAGTAGACTATTTAGAAGCTACTAGCTTGGTTTCAATTAGTGTCATATTTACAGCGGGTGGAAGGTTTGTTTGATTATAAATTATAATCCACCACATGATATGCAGTTATTATTGTTTTCAATTAAGTATTTCTACTTTACATTTTATAGGTAATTTTACAATTAATAATAAATAATTTATTTTATTTTATAAATGGATAATGTGGGGATGAATATCCCCACGTTTCTGCCAGACCTTTCTCTGATTTGTAAAATCATATATAATATGATAGTGTTAGCATTTAATAAGTAGATTCCTACATAATGTTATGTAACAATGGTAATACGTACAGAGAAGTTTTTAAATATTTTGGAGTTAAAGTCTTAGTCCCATTTGAAATGTTATTTAATAGGCATAATATAATATTTTTTATACATGAGGTATGAGTGTATGACTACATATGGTAGCTATCTGTATAAACTTGTAATACTAAATTCCAGCTTTATATTGATATGCATATAATAAATAAATAAAAAAAGCATCATAATATTAACATTTTGCTTTAAACATTTGTATAGTCTACATCTTCAGTTCAGTAGGTACGTAGTAGTATGTGTCATTGAATTTTAAGAATGTACAGTTATTATTTTTCTCCCTAATTTCCAACCAATATACTTTTTTAATTGTATATTTCAAATACTTACTATCATGTATTTAATGAAAACAAGTTTATAATGGGAACCTACATCAAAATATATATTTTTATTTTAGTTATTATTACTTTTAACATTCTATAGTACCTATCAAAATATTAATTATCCATAAATACATTCATCTTAAAATCACTTCTGTACATCCCCTACACTGATCTCCTTTGAAAGAAAAATCATTATAAGGCCTGCTTTAAGTAACAAAATTCATTGAATATTACATGAATACATAACAAGAACACATTATTTCAACTACCTATTGCTATCTACTTAATAGGAACTATCTTGGAACCTTATTACTTTAATGGACACGTTTTTTTTAGACTTATACAACTGTAATGAAATTGATGGTGAAGTCAGAATTTGGAGGTCAGACCTAGTTTTAAAGTTATGGCCTTATGAATTTCGCTATTTTTCAATATTTACGCATTACTCTTGTTTAATAAGACTAAAATGAATATATATATTTTTTTTTTATTATGTAGTTAAGAATGATGATGCAATCTGAATTTGTAGACCAAACTCAATGTTGGGCCTGTGTTAGACAGGCAGAAAATCATCTCTTCTGATCCCCTTAACAATAATAATATTATGTTATGCAATAAGAGTAAATACATAATTGAAAATAGCGGTTAAGTGAAAAGTAATTTTTCTTAATGCCCAAGATATTAATATCCATTCTAAAAGAATATAATTCAGTAACATTTCAAGTTGAAAAAAGAACCGCCAGTCTTTCAAGAGTAACTGCCACTCAAGAGAATACCTATCTAGGTAGTTCAATTTTTATTTTTCATTGATTATCATCAGCGGTTCTTCAAGTCATAATGTTTCATCATTTCGACAAAGCTGGTGTGACTGGAGTGGGTGGAGAACAGAGCTCTTAACGTAAACCCATTAATATGTTATTTTTTTGCAGAATTGAATAAAACGAAACGACATCGAAGGGCCGAAAATCGTGAGGGTCGACGGCAGCCGGACACCTAGTAGATTTTCAAAATGATTAATTTAAGAGCGCGAAAATATTTCTTTATCTTATAAAAATTCTAAAAATTTCAAACATCTAAGGGGCGGGACATCGGTATGGGATCCGAAATCGGAGACGGCAAAACACCCCCGACACCACAGCAGTCTTGTTAAAGCGATATTATTCTGGGAATGGAGGTCATTGCCTCTATGGCTCTGTTGATCAATCCGCACACAAAGCTATAATATGAAGTGTGATCGTGCGTGTGCGTGTGTATGTGTGTGTGTGTGTGTGTGTGTGCGCGCGCGCTGCGCGTTGTGCCTTGTACTCACGTTGGCCGACGGGATACATAGCTTGTTCCGGTTATGACAGCGGCGGCGAGCTTACACGCTTAAGCGTTCGAGTCGGACATCGTTGGCGGTGAGGTTTAACTGACCGTGTGCATTATTATAAAAATAAAATTTGAAAACGGAAAATCGTAACGATTTGATAATAAACACACTACGCTATTAAGAAAAAAAATTGACGCCGAAAGGATGATTACGATAGCGGAGAAAAAAAAACTTAAAAAAACCGCGACGGACTGCGCTACAACACACACGCAGATGACCCAAGCCCGACGACCAGTGTTGCCCAACTGGATTTCGTTTCACAGTTCGCTGCTACGGCTCGATCGTCATCAACCTCGGCAGAATTGAAATATAATGGCCGACGCGCGGGAAGTCACCACTACCGCGGTATGTTGGCATGAAAGAAACCATAACCTCAATCCCTGGGCGGACCGTATTTTTAATCGTGATTCGTGACGTCACGCAACGAAGTGTATCAAAGTTACCGCTGTGAGCGCCACGGTAGGGACTAGAGAGCAGAGGGTAGAGTGTAGAGACGTAGAGTGCGTGCTGTGCAGCCGCTCCCGCAGGGATTTTATCGATTATCGTTCCCAAAAAAAGAACACGTACGACTGCTGCTCATCGTAGGCCGTAGTAACTATGTCTCTGCCATTTTCCGGCTCGAAATCAAAGTCAGCGGGCTTGGTGAGTGCGATAAGGAAACAGACGTTATTATTGAACCTCAAGCCCGTGAAAAAAGTGTCGGTCAAGTTCGATCCTTTTAGCCAAAATGCTGCCACGGCCAGGTAAATCGTTGTCAACGCTCTGCTGTTATAATGTACAAAACTTCATGTCTCAGAATCGCCATGTTTGAACGCCGTTTTCGGGCTCGGTGAAAATAATGATATATACCTAATACTAATATTGGCGGTGGCTATACGTTCAAGATAAGTATCGATTCGATAGCACAATAAAAAATTTGTTTGTTATATTTATGACGCGAGTCCATCTAAATTAAATTTTAAAAATCGCACGTTTGTTATAAACAAGATGTGATCCAAAACATTTTTTTTAAATTATAACAGTATTTTAAAAAATTATTTTACCGTGCAATACATAAACCAATCCTATTAGGTAACATTTTAAAAAATCAGTACCTATACCTGTATAATTTATAATTGTATTATATTCTAGCGGAATAACCTTCATTCTTTCAACCATAATAGATAACAAAATGTTACTGTTTAGTAACTGCTTAAATAGTTGTATTATAAGTCTTATACTGTAAGAAATATATAGCGTATATAGTAAAGAAAAATCTGTATTTATGAAAATAATTCAAATAAAGTTGCAAGTACTTACATCCATTGAAATGCCCATTAACGTTTTCATATACTGGTTTGAAATTAATCTGTTCCTGAGGTACAACAAAATTAGCATTTACCTCCATGATTAATTAAATGTTATTCCTATAACAAAACAAAAAAATTAATATAAATTCAATCTGCAAAATATTTAATATCTGTATACATAATAATAAAATTAATTTTTATTTTACAGGAATTTTATGTACTATTTACTATCACCGAAAGTAATCAAAACAAATCCTCTATGTTTGGTAAGAAACGAAGTTGTTAATGATAGAAGTGAATCAACAGTTGATGTTTCTTTAGGTAAAATATTTTATTTTATTTAATATAATGTAAATAATTGAAGTATGTTGATTAAAATTTTTATTTATAGTGAATGGTGAATCAGTGTTATTTAAATGCCAAAACTTAACTGTTTTGGAAATATTTCAACAGTTCAATAAACATATAACTCCATTAGCACCTAAAGAAGAAGTGACTGAAACTCTTGTGACAAAGACTGATAAGAAAAAAGGAGGAAAACGGTAAAAATGGCCAAAAAAGAACATTATACTACAACAATTATCAATGGATTCTATAATCAATTGCCAGCTTTTTCAGATGTTTTTGATGAAGAATCTTGGTATTTATTTGTAATATGTTTTGTGGCATTCACATTAATAGTTGTTTACATTTTATCAAAGTTTATAAAATTACAACCTGTAGATTGGTGAAAATAATATTCTTAGAATTAGTTATTTAAATCAAATTATTTCATTATGTAAAAATCTTGTAATTTATAATAATTTTAAATAAAGAATGAATTTTGAAATTAAAAATGATCAGTAATATTTTTGTTAAACTTAATATAGGTAGAATTGCTTTTTAAATGTATTCATTTAAATTTTTTAACTTAAAACCTGACCAAAATGCTTATTTTACAAATCAAAAAACTTTAATCATCAACACTAACAGTTAAACTTTTGTATACATTTGTGCAATCTAATTTGTAAAATTGTTATTAGCATTTACAAAATATGTAAAATATATTTACAATACATTAAAAAAATTTATCTTAGTGAATTTGATACTTCATTAAAGAGTCTTATAAAACTACTATATTATATAATAAACCATTTTATAATTTAATACCTACCTATTTATTTCTATTTTAACAATATTTATAAATTAATGAAATATAAATTCTCATAACATTTAATTATTATTATACGCATGGCTGTTGTCTGCTATATTATTTTATAAATTAGAACAACGCTCATTACGTTTTTAATTGTCACATTGTAATCTAACTTTTAACAAATATTTTATTATTTGTAGTATATTATAATACATTTTCAAAATATATTGACCTTAACTTAAAGTTTATTGAAAAAATAAATATTAAATACTTAATACTTAATACTTATTTCAACATAATTTTAAGAGTTGGTAAATTAATATTCCCGGTGTAAAATCATAAATTTAAACACTTGAGCAAAAAGAGTCATGTTATTCCTTTTTAAAACATTTATCTTGACTTGAGGATTAATGTGTTGCAATATTTGTGTATAGAGTATTCAATTGGTCAGACAAAATTAATCAAGAAAACATGGTGTCTAAAATTGTATTTTTCTGACAACTGCTTAAAAATGTTATTTAAATAACTATTATTGTATGGTTTATGCCTTTATATTTAAATTATAATGCTTCTTTATCTTAAGCCAAAGTGAGAGTGGCCAGATAATATAATTTATCCAATCATATTAACATTTAGTAATAATAACATAGTAATCACTAATTACCATTTAAATGAAAATATTTAATTTAATACGTCATAACTAAAGATTAAAGAATATTAAATGTAAAATTAATAAGTTAAATATAAACCAAAATAACTATAATAGCATGTTATTCAATTTGTATACCTAAAATGTTTCTATTAAAAATAATACCTCTACCTATACATTATATTATATATATATTATGTACCTACACATTTAGACAATTGCTTTGTATTAACAAAGTCAATTTTATTTATTTTATTAACAAACGTGTTTGACAAAAGGATCGATACCAAATCAATAAGATTTTAACCAGTGTGATGAAAAATTCATTAATGGTAGTAAAACTGTCCTAGTACCACAAAATAAACGATAAAATAAAATGACGGGTAGACATATTTTGAATCCAGAAATTACATGTAAAATGCAAGACTGCAAAGTAGTAAACCATTTATTGGGTAATGCAGTCTTGATCGAGGAACTTGATAGTTTTAAAATACCGCAAGCCTCCAGTCCTGATAATTCTATTGTTAAAGTGCCGTATAATTGTGGAATATTGTTTTCAAGGAACATATTTTAATTGTGTCATTCTAGTGGCGAATTTGACAGAAATTTGTAAAATGCATCGCCGTGCTCATTGTATAATATTTGTATGACAATATTATATTGTGAATATGTTGGTTGGTATAAATGTATTAATGTATAATGATGATGATTCAAATATTGCCACTGACTTTAAGTGGATAATTGAGGGAATTAATGTTCACCATTAAAAAAAAAATTGCATAAGTACCTATACCTACTATTGAAATTGAATATTGATAAATCTATCATAATATAAATAAAATCGTTTGTCGTACGTGGGCTATTGAAATTGGATGATCGAATTGCACTGAAAAAATAAAAATACCTACTATTTTCGGTAAATAATTACGCTCACGATTTTTACGCAGGGCAATTTGTCGCTTTATAAATGGCCAATACTATAGACGTTTTCACGATTATTTTCATTTTTGACTCGGGTGTTCAATAGGTACCTAAGTATAATGCACAACAAATAAAAACTGTTCTATGATAATCGTATAACTCAGGTGAACAAATAACAAGAACGACAACGAATGACGATAAATAGTTTATCGTTTATGTAACACTTGTCGGAAATTACATCGCCACAATCGGTACGACGACGCGTTGCACACTGACTGGCACAGGAACTGGCCGCATCATTGCCAACACCAAAATTATTATCGTAGGACGGTATTTTTTTTATACTATCATCGATGACGAGCGGCTTTAGCGCCTGGCATAATACAAATAATAATATGTTACATGGTATTTCAGCCGACTGGTTGCTCTGAAGTCGAAGATTGTGTTAAAAAACATGCACTTAGGACGGGATGAAAAAACAAACCCGTATACCCTTTGAACAAGACGTATGCTGCTTTCTTTCCAGTTTTACGCTGAGTGAGATGAGACACTACGAATTCCATTAAACTTCATCGTTGGGTTTGTAGTGTGAAAATGGGTACGATTTTCAGACGAGACGCGGATAGGAAATTATTATAATAATAATAATAATGCCTAGAAGAAATCCACTCACCTACGCAGCGTTTCGTTCGCGACAAAGACACAGCCGAGACTGCCTTCAGTCATCAATCATCATCTGAGCCTTCTACCCGGGGGTGTTGTTTTCAACGGGGTTAGGTACTCTGCCTCTAACTCACTCTCTCTCTCTCTCTCTCTTTCTCCCTATTCCCTCCGACCTACCTTTTTCTCTTCTTTCGATGGTACACCGGGCGCCGTGCAGCAAAACAAGAACGTAGAGGCACAACCACCTCTACACACGCACACCGGTCGGCGGCGACGCTGGTCTACTGAACCGAAGTCTCAAGGTCAAGGTCTCGCGTGCGCAACGTTTTCGTCGGCGGCGTACGATATAATATTGTTATTGTTATGATTTTTTTCCTCCGTCCAGTCAGTCCCATTGTGGCATTACATCGGACGAGGGGCAGTGGATAACGTTATATTTTTTTATTATTATCGTTACTTATAGAGTTAGGCGGTGCACAAAACGTTCTTTAATATACTGATTACAACTCTGTCGAAATTATGGATACGGATCTTCTAGCGAGAACGGAATGATCGGACCGTCGAATACACTCGACGCGAACACGATTGAACGGACCACGAACACCCGCTGGTACTGTTCGACGGCTACTACAACGGGGAACGGCGCGGCGGCTTCGACGACGACGACAATAATAATAACAACAACAACAACAACAACAACACGCGCGCGCCCGCGCAGCACTGTCTGTGCATGTATCCACCGCCGCCGCGTCAGACCGACGTAGTTGCACCGCCACCGTCACCACCACCGCCACCAGCGGCAGCATCGCTCCTCCACAGTCACCGCCGCTGCGCTAACGGCGACGCTGCCGCCGGTTTTCGCTCAACCATCCCTTCGAATGACCGTCAAAAGAACGGTGGGCCAGGTCGTCGGGTGGGGATGATAATCGATCAGCGACCGCTCGTACCACTCTGGCGGCCTTTGTCAGGGTCGGCCGCCGAAGCCTCTAGGGGACGACGTGTTATGACGCCCAGAGGGTTGGCTGGCGGCGGCTGAAATGAAAATATTATGTATGATGATAATGTGAATAATATTATGATATAGATTCACCGAGAAAAAATCCTTCGGTTGGGTCGGTGTTAAAAACGTTGATCGAAGAATTGTATCGCGCAAAACAGTATCGGGTTCCGGGTAAATTTTTTTTGTCTTTTGAGAAGCCAAATCGTCTACAAATCGCCGGTATACCTGCGGCATCTGCTGTGACGGCGGCGAGAATGCGTGTGGTAGGCAGTAGGCGCACGTCGACCAGCACAAGCCTACTCGGCGACGCGTTCACACACGGGCGCTCGCCTGCAGTCGTCTTAAAGTGGCGTATTTGACTATTAGAGTATTTTGAAGGGGGGCAATGTTTATTTTAAAATGTTTATTTATTTAATTTATATTTTTAATACCATCGCAATTATTGAATTAAAGCAATAGTGCAATACTGCAGCTTGCAAGTCCTATTAAAGAACAATTTTAAATGTTTCACATTTTATAAATTTGAAAAAGTTATGCTGTATATGAAATGCACGATAGTGTTGAAATATATCTCTCGTGTGTCATGGGGACTTGATCGGTGTTGGTACCTATGGGGTGCAAATGGTCCTTCCCCGTCAAATACGCCACCGACGACGTGGTCGTTGTTATGTTATTGCCGTCGCGGTGCAGGCCAGACGTCATCCCGTCAAACGGTCGGAGGTTAGGAAAAGCAAGACAAGGCGAACACGGTGTATGCACTTACATACAACTATGTATAGACTATAGAGCGTTCAGAAAAGAGTTTTATTTATTAGTTATTGCTATACACGATGACATGAATATTAGTTTCTTCTTCTCACTCCGCGTAAGTTACTGGACACCAATAACACCGATAATATTAATTATGTACCTACATACACCAACCTACGTAATGCTTTTATTTACACTTAATCGATAATTTAGTATAATAAAATAATAATTAGGTGGGTATTGACGTTGTCGTCGCAAGCTTGCCACTTATCGCGTTGGCCTCTACGACCGATACTATTTGGTATATGTACACATTATTATTTAATACGTGTAATCATAAAATTGCCATACTGCAGCAACGCGGCTTGTTCACGATGAGTTAATTATAATTATCACCACTCGATTTTAGTTGTCTATCACTAGATCGATCTCGTGTGTATATTAAATATATTTATTTATTATATTTCAAGCTAAACGGAAATTGAGAAAATTACTCATAAAATAAAAGTATCACAGGCCGTGTGATAGCTGCAGAGTCAGACTGATCTATACTCTATAAAGTCTATAGACTGCAGGCAATAACCAATGGGCCTCCTTGACTGTGTGCATATATAGCCCCCCCTCGTTATAAACGGAAAAATCATAATTTTATTGCAGCAGGGCCTTAGAACTCTACAACCAAATCTTTATTGTCTACTAAACACATTTATAAAATTATTATTATATATTATTATATTATTAATTATTTAAATTCAATAGAAGGCTCCTAGTATATTGTTTCAAAGGCAGATGAAAAATATTAAAAATCCTTAGTCACAATTTTTTTTTATAAGCATTTAAAGTTCAAAAATTGACAAAATATGGAAAAATCACGAAAATTAGCAAATTATTTTGAGTTAGGAATTCGTAAAAATTTTCTTTTTAAATCTAAGATTTTAAAATGTAATACAAGATTATGATAAGTTTGTCTACCTTTATCAATAAAAAAATCTCTACCGGAAAGCCAAATTAAATTTTTATGATGTGCGTTTGAAATTCATATTTTTCCAAAATTTATTATTCACTCGATTTCTCATGTAACGATTTTCTTATTTTCATATAATTCAAAAACGAATGAATCTAGATACATGCAAATTTCGCTGAATGTTTATTTTATCAATTCTTATACTTGATAAAATGTTGACTCTTTTTGAGCTGTTTACGGCCATTTTCAGTTTTAAATTTTTTTTAGTTTTTTTTTTCTATAAATATTAATTAAATTTAATCTGCTGGGCCAAAAAGTGTGTACAAGGCTCCTGATATATTGTTACAATATCAGTTGAAAAATATTAAAAATACATAGGCACATTTTTTTTTTTATAAGCATTTGAAGATCGAATTTTGATAAAATGTATCAAATTTAAAATTGAATATTTATTTTGTAGTTAAAATTGTATAAAATGTTCAACTTTTATATCTAAAGATTGAAAATTTAAAACAATATTCCATGTAAGTTGTTAATTCTGTTACCAAAAAATCTAAAAAAATACATAAGCACAGTTTATTTGTATTGTCATTTAAAGTTCAAATTTGGACGAAATTACATAATAAAAAACTTAGAATAACGATTTTAGTTATTTAATATTTTGTTGTGATTATATAATATTATTCATGGGTACTTGAAACTCCGAAAGTACACTATTATGTATCTATGATAGTATCAGGGTTTGTTGTTGATGTATAACGCAATATAAGTACTAAATAGATATTGTGATATACTGATATGATTAATATGGAATTTATTATAGGTAACTTTTTTATAATACCATAGATAAGTATATAATATGATGTCTTATACCTAGACTGACATACCGTCTCCGCTCAGAATCGTTTTTCTTATACAATGATATAATATTATTGAATTTAAATTTAATACCATCCATTATACGGTGACCCACTTGTAACCTACTGTACAGCAGAGCACTTTTTTTTTATTATGGGCCGCCCAGGGCCCACAAAATCATCTTTTCCCTGGGCCCCTAAAATTTAAATCCAACCTTCCTCGACAACATTTTTTTTAATATTAATGTTATAAGGTTTTTTACTATTGCCTTTGATACCATATCATATATGATCTAAGCCGGATACCAATGAATTTATAACAATACACCACTGACTGTACCCTATTTGTAAAATAATAATACAATAATTCTGATTGTAGATAATAGATTATATATTATAATATAAGTACTCATATTTTTATACATTATTGTGTCCTCGAAAATTTTACTTTATTTCTATTAACACATTAGTCTGTATTTTATGAAATTTTTAGTATACATCAAAATATTATGATTGATTATGTACTCTAACCCTCCACCCTTGCACCACTGAGGTAAACCCGAACCTTGAAATTCAAAATCGAAAGGCAACTTAAAAGTCTTAAACTATACATGCATACATACATACTATTAATGTAATATTATAATACGAAATGAATAACTTAATAAGGATAATATATTTATGTACCTACACCCGAATAACCGATACCCATGTCAAACAGATACTACTTTTTATTTATATTTCCTTGATTTTTGTTATTCAAAAATAAAATATCAAATTCCACTGTCGCTAAACTTTAAAACAATTATAATAATATCATAATAGGTACATTAAAGATCAAAGCTTACTTACCTATATTTTAACTACACCAGAAAAATTTTATATTTACTATAACTAAAAATGTATGTTTTTTCTTGTACATGAAGTACCTATATATATGTACATGTACGATGTACCTATGAGAAGTAGATATGTTAGATTATCGATTTGGGCCTCTGGGGCCTGTTACGAAAATAAATTAAAATTATATTCAACGACTCTATACATGAAAATAAAATTATTAATTTGTATTTCTAGAAAGTAGACACTATTATAATAGATACCATGTAGCTAGGTGTTAAAATTGATGTGTATATACCCATACTCAAATAATGAATATCGAAAACGTTGGTAGAAAGGGAACTGTGAAGAGAGAGTATAATATTATATTGCCATAAACAAGCGGTTAGCGAAACCGTGACGTAAATTATCCGTGTATTAAGTCCTATTGTTATTGGTGTTTTCAGTAAAATAGCGATTAGTTTTTGGAACAATATCTTAGAAAATGTTTCGTATAAAATAAGGCAGTAGGTTGTTATATATATACAATATACAGCTATAAAAATTTATAAAATATAAATGTGTAATACATATAATACATACACAGTGACATAGACTGGAATTTTCATTTGAGGGGGATGTACATTCATTATTTCTTAGATAAATCATAGGGTAGTGCCCCTCACGGTCCCACACTAATATTACCTAGGTATTTATTAAAAAAATAGGTCACGGGGGTTCATTACCTCCCCTCCTTGAATTCGCCCATGCACACACACGAGATAAATAATATTATAATAACTAATAAGTAAGTAAGTTAGGTATATAATAATACCGGAGAAAAAATGAAATGTTTAGTAGGTATATCGTATATGAAATATGGATCTATGAGTCTATGACAAAGTTTCCAATGCACTATGAATGCACATATGTATTATTTTGCTCTAATATTTTTATGTTTTTATTTCATGAAATGTTATACGTAGATTATATTGTGATTGGGTTATGCTTATGAATTTATTAATTCTTATATACATTACGATGTATAGTGTATACCTACCTACTAAACAACTGACAATATATTATATAGCCTCTGATCTTTATATTATCTATTAAGTAAGATTGTGCTTCACACAATGTTATTGTATTTGATATTTTTATGCTTGAAAAACATTGATTAGGCCTATACGCAACAATTCGGGTCGCATAACGTTATTAATATAAAATGATAAGGAGGTCGGCTTTGTCAGTACCCGGGGGTGAAGGTCACAAAAGAGGTTACTTGATGTAATAAGTAACATACTAATACTAACATGCCTTATTTAAATTATCAATCTTCATAGATATAAATGTGTGTAGACATTAAACAGTTTTGTTCGAACATTTCAACTCTACACATTTTAATTATATACAAATAAAAATATGGTACTTAAAAGTGACACGCCTTTAGTTGTCAGCTTTTGGTTGTGTAATAAATAATAACTCAAATACTCAATATGATAAAGATAATAGTTAAATTAACAAAGTACTTAATTAACTATGGGTTCACCCAAATTAAAAACCAAATTCATAAGACTATGATTTTTCTTGGGTGGGGTACTTATGTCTTATCATGTGCTAAAAACCCAATCTATCGGTCCATCTTT